GGTGATGGCGGGCATGGCACGAGCGTGGATTCGAGGCCATTTTTTGCTGTCTGCATACATACCCACGTCTTGTCGATGCAGAGGTGAACGATGCCGTCAAGTAACCCCACGTCAACTGGCTGTCAACGCAAAGGGTGATTCATGTCGGCGTTAAATGAACGTCTCGAGACCGGGTCCAAGATACTACTACTAGGTGGGGCTCGCTGCGGAACGGAGGAATCGATCAGGACCGTCTTAAGACAGCTGACGGTAGTGCAACGAAGAAGCAAAGACGGTCCATCTGCAATTACACAGACTAGCACACAGGCAAACTCCCAGGCGAACGAAGTAGTAAAAACAACTCTGGTACGGTTGGTTGCGTTTGCTGCTGCTGCTGCATCAAAACAATTCACTTGCTGACTAAATTTGGTCGTCACAACGACCGTCCTCTACCCAGCCACTCGAAAAGCCGCGTCATTTGCAAACTGAAATGCTAGGACTGCAGACGCCCTCACGGCTACGCAACAAGTCAAAAGATAGGGGATAAGACCAACTCAAGTATGTGCCGAAACTCATGTAGCTCTGACTGAGCCGTGACCGAAGAGAATACAAGACCAACTGTCAATCCGAAGGTTGATTTAGCATAATATAATCCCAGCTTTGGATGAACATCTTTCCAGCAAAAGTATACCTACTTAAGTGACGTGAGTTTTTTTTCTGGGTATTTTTGACTGATCGGGTCAATGGTGACAGTTCGACCATCGATCTCGATGATGTCCACCGTATGCCCCACAGTTGCAGCAACAATGGGAGCAGGGACGGTGACTTGCGCAGGGGTTTATAGTGCCAGTAGACTTGCGCTGCATCTACCTACACTCTCTCCTCCTCCCCCGCCTGAACCCGGTGCCAAGACAGAACCAAGATGACCGGAGACGAGGGAGGTGGGTCAATGGTATCCTACAGAAAGCGGGCACAAGAAACGACTTTCGCATTTTTTATGGTGTGTCGTTTGGATGAACATTTTTCCAGGCATATACGGTTGACCCCCCGTCTATTCGCGGATCTATTTTTTCGTAGAGCATACCTTAGATATGCTGTACGAGAGAAAATGTGCGCCTGAATATAGGGGTAACTTGACTAGTTTTCGCCTCTGTAAGGGCTACTAGTGTAGGTTTGTTCACGAGTAGCTGTAAACCATTGATTTCGAAGGGGAATGTTGTAAAATCACCTTAAAATAATATTAAAGTGTTTTAGGATTATAGTGTAAGGTATATTGAATGTTTGAACATTAGAAATAGGCAGTTTAAAGTGATTTTCAGGGATTTCAGGTGTTTGCAGGCTTCAACTGTTCGTGGGTAGCCATGGTCCCTAACCGGAGGTCGACTGTATCTAAATGGCATCTGTAAAAACACAACTACCCAAGCAACTTAGACTTTTTGCCGGCGATTTTCGACTGCTGCATAAAGTCAATGGTGTCCTATAGAAGGAGGGCACAAGAAAGGAATTTACAGAAAACCACGTCTTCCGGTCTTATGCTTGAAAGAAGGGTTAAGGTGTTCAAAAGGTCCACAATTATGGAATTTTCTGATATCGTCGACCACATACTCATTTTGGTGGTTAACTACTACCAAAAAGTATGCGAAATGATCCGTACGTACTGCAATATTCTAAGTGGGCCAGGTGAGGATCTATGGAAGCGGGTAGGGTTGTGTGTTTTGCTCCAAAAAACAAACAGCACATCGTTTAAAAACCTTAACGGTAAGTAAAACGCAGATTGTGCCTCGAAATAAACATAAGCCATCGGAGATTTGGAAAAGCGGAGTGCTGCTCCTCTTCAAGTAGGATAATTGAAAGTAGCACAGTGTCCAATTAAGTGAGTACAAGGAAGAGGTTCTTGTGTATTCTTCCTAATAAGTATGATCGAATTTACATAGGCATTGAAAATGCATTGAATGGGTATACACTGCTGCAGTAATCGTCTGTTCCGAGTGCAGTTTGCCCGGCCTGTGCCGATGTGCAGCTACAATCCAGCATGCTGTGTTATAGGAGCCGACCTGGGAGTTTCTCCCTGCTAATCAGTTTTGTAACCTTCATCTAGACAATTTTATTTAGTGTGATGGCGCACTGAAGGTTCTCAATCCACGTTCTGTGAGTTGCATCATCTAATTTACCAGCAACCCCGAAAAACCCGAAAAAAAATATGATTTTTCATAGGGTCAGATCGGAAGAAACCGAAAAAAAAGCAAAAGCACGAATCGGTGAGGGAGACTTACATCGCCTCCAGCATCACAAATCTGCACATTAATCCGGCGGTTGTCCATGCATATATCCACTGCAAAGAGACGTGAACTTCGGTTAAGTGGGTAAACAATGCGAAAAAAAACTGATCTTCAAACAAAAATACAGAAAAGCAAGGCAACATTCTGGCTACGTAGATTGTGCCATTTTTTTGCGGTGTTCGTTGATAGCTACTGTGACGCATTTTAGCCTTAGGAGTCCCAAAGCGAATGAGCAACGTTGAAAGTCTGTTCCAGCCGGAGGGCGCTGACAATAAAGTGGTAATTTGAGTATCTATGAATCATTCATTGACTGGAAATCGGATCAAGACAGTTAAGTACAAGCATGAATTGCCGAAATCTGATCTTGTGAAACCGAAGTGAAGATAGGTGTTTGGGAGGATAGACTCTGTTCGAAGGTATTACCCAGTCCACAAGGCCATGAACAATTTTTTCCACGTCGTCCCCAAAATAAATCTAAAATACTGACTGTGGTAACCCCCCCCCCCCTCCTGCATCCCAAAAGCGTGCCTCGTCTAGCTCGAAGATCAGAAAATATCAGATGCCAGTACGTACGACGTGATTATCCGAGCAATCTCGACTGACAGCTGCACGCCACCGTGCAGCGAATTGACGCCCTGTCTCACAAATTGCGGTTTGCATGCGGAAAAGGCAAGTGCATCTACTGAGTTTGGATTACGGAAGCGGTTAGCCAGTTACCAGTATACGGACTAATTCGGGACGTAATTTAACAATGATCCAGTGTTTTTTTTTCTGACTAAGCCAATGAGACTAAACATGTCCCCGGGGCGACTTAAAGATAGGCATGGAGGAATGATAGGTGAACTAGCTCTTTAGAGTTTGTCAACTGAACAGAAACTGGATTTTCGTAGAACGGCACTGGCCGCTTATGCTTGTAACATGCGCCACGAAATTAATAAGCGAATGTTCATGAGGACTGGAGCAGCAAAAAATGCAAAAGATTAATTACTCACACGGTCCCCATAATAACTGAGAGCTAATAATCAAACTAGTAAGAGTTTCAAGATATGAGAAAACAAATCGCATAGGGCATAGTGGAGTAACAATAGCAGTTAGGGTAAAATACGTAATGTCTGAAGTTCACAGAGGAGTCGCTAAGCAGGAGAAGGACTGACTCCAAGATTACAACAATACCTAAGTAACATACACAGCCAATACCGGTAGTTCGCGTATTTATTTAAGTGCATAACAAGTAGGCAGGAGAGTGCTCTGAGGCTCTCTGGATGCACAGATATCCTAATCGGTAGGCAGACAGCTCAATCCGTCAACCACTGAGGTCATGCCTGTTTGCTCAAACTAGATTAGAGACTACGACGACCGCCACAGTGCTTACAAGATGTGAGCCAATTAAGAGAGACTTCTTTGGACGTAAATCTGGGCAGAGAATTTTTAAAGATGAAAAAGGTTTGTAACGGGTGTTTTGGCGATTATTTTGACTTGACTGTGAAAAACTAGGCGCCTCGGTGGGATTCGAACCCACGAAGGCAAGGAGAAGACTCTAGTACAGTCAACGCTCTAGCCACCTGAGCAACGGGGTCCCACCGCCGGCCGTGATTTTAATCACATTTGGGCCAGGTTGTCCAATAGCAACTTATTCTTGCTGTCGTGGGTTCGAATCCCACCGAGGCGCCGAGTTTTTCACAGTCCGGCAAAATGAATTCTTCAAAATCTGCAAAAACACCTATTAATCACGTGAGCCTGGTAGTCGTCTAGTGGATTGTAGATTAATTTGGTTTATGTTAGTCTTTACTACTTCTAACAACTATGGGATATCTGCTGGAAAATGAAGCGCGGGATTGCAATGCTTGTATTTGGTCGCTTATATTGTATGGAGTTGAATTCTAAAATCATAAGACTGTATATGCGAGTCAATTTGATATACGGACTTCATGAAATCACTAAATCGCATCCCAAGGGCTCTTACTAACCAGGCAGCCGAACGGCGCCATGAAAAATACATCTGGGGCGTCTCAGGCTAACCTACAAAAATGAGAGCACTCGGCTCTATGACTGACAAGGCTTGGTTCTAAGTAGGGTCTTGGCGCATAATTTCCTCTGCAATTCGGCATCCTATAACCGGATGAATAATTGAGGGTGTCGTAGCTCCAAAATTGTGACGAAGGTGGCGGACGCGGCACTCGACCAAAATTCATACAAGCATATTAAGGGTTCCTGCTTCCGCGTGACAATTAGACACAAGCCAGATAGAAGGTAGGGTTAAATCTTGTTTGTCTGATTCAGACCGTTTGATCACTAGTGCCTTCTTCCATGATTGGATGAAATTTTGACCGAAAATGTTGAAAGCATATTGTCCGTATGAGCTTTTGATGAGAAGCCGAATTTCCCTTTTACATAAAAAGCATGACTTGAATCTGGTCTTTCGAGAACCACCCACCCTGAGTAAAAAATTCGCAAAATTCATGGCGAATACTGAAACCAGGCTTACACTGCTCCGAATTGCGCGGAGGCAGAAAGGACACGATATAGGGATTACTGCTGGGATTATAGGGTCTCAAAGAGACCCAAACACCTACAACAGGGATCCTTACTACCCCGACAATACCGGCAAAGAAGGGAAATCGATGGGGCAAAAAAGACACGGGCACAGAATTGTATAGACTGTGAAATTTAGCGCTGAAGAGCTCTGCTTACAGACACAACTTAACATCAGACCAGAGATTAAATCAACTGGTGTCCCCTACCTTCTTGTCACCATAGTGCCCACCGATAATAACGAGGGAAAGGTGATATAAAGGATTATCGCGGAGCATCCAGCTGTTACAAAAAAGCAGGTGGCGGGGGAAGGGGGATTCAAGTCTATGACGAAAATCTTATAATTCGAATTACTGAGAATGTCTTTCTATCATTTACATTTCATGGTCTGACAAGGCAAACTACGCTGGATATTGACGATGTGGTCAGAGCTAAACACTGGGGACAGCAGCTGAATGCGAATAAGGCAACCCCTCTAGTAGACTGAGATGCTTGACTCCAGTCAACAACAGACATCGCTTGTATAAGAACTTTGACAGATAGAGCCTTTTTAAACAGGACTAAAAGTAATTTCAAGAGCAACGGAGGCTCGCCTGGATACGTTACCTCAGCTGAAATCGCGCAATACATTGCCACCACTGAACAGGTCTACGGTAGGTCCATTGCACGTGCGAGTCATCTAGTCAGCTAAATTGAAATCACGTGACGCTGGGAGTCCGCAAACCTCAGAACCTCGAATAAAGGCTTTTATTCACGGCTTTGGGGTTGCGCAATATCCAAGTGAACGATTCGCAGAGACTTTAGTAGATAACCTTGCTGTATGCAAACCAGCAAAAGATGGACAGCATGGCAGACTCCCATGTCATATCATGCAAAAGTAAACAAAATCGTTTCGTTGTAAAAAAAAATTCGCTGATTGGTGATGAACGGAGGACCGTCAAATTGGCCGATGAACAGCTAGTTAAGGCAGGTCTACTTAATATGCAAGTGACTGACAACTTGGGAGAATATTTGACCAAGATGTCAGCTGACTAAAACCAGAACACAAGCCGCAAGACAATAGGCATTCGTAACATGACGCCTAGACGCTCAGAAAACCCTGGACAAACAAAAGCAACAGAATTCATAGGAGGTATAAAAGTCGAGTGGGCCGCCGGAACAAGCCAGTTACGCTGGTACCTCGAGTTAATACTAGAAACCGTCGTCAGGCCCGCAATGGCAATGGCGCGAATCAAAACATCAGAACCGATCACTTGTCTCAGCGTTGACAGTGCCCAGGCTCCTCAAGGGAAGGACAGAAACCTTGCTCTAACCATAACCTTATGTATCTGCAGCATATTCAACGGTTTATTTGAGCAAAACGTATGTTAAAAAACCGAGTGTTAATCAAACGAAATGCAAAAAAACTCACGCGCATATTTATCCAGTGCAGTTGGCTTATAATTTTCCGGGTAATCATCCCGCGCATAGCTTATAACAAGGCTCGTTTTACCGACCCCACTTTCTCCTATTAGCATACATCTAACGGCAGTCAAACTATCGGTCATCCTGTAGCATCCTAGACATCGAACCAAGCCTTTCCAAAGTTTGCGTGAAAGAAGAGCTCAATAAAAGAATATATGGTACAACGACTAAGCTTTGCTTTAATAGAATTCATTCATAACCCAAAATTGGAGGTCATTGGGGTTTTTTCAGGTACAAGGAGTCCACTGTACAACATTTTTCACATGGGTTAGAGCCCACATAGGACTCCAACGACTGATAAACAGGGACCAAGGTACGTTGTTAAAGATAGGATAACCATACTAGGCCAACATCAAATCCTCAGAAGGGCAAGTTCGAAAAAGGCAGGCAGAATCGCACCGGATAAAAGCCGGTAAATAAATACCAGAAAACTCATGTGATAACTTCTATATGTAAATTAAAACTGATGGGAAATAAACGGCAACGAAAAAATAGTCGCTGCAGAAAGTCGAACACGCTGAATCACAAAGTGGGACATAATACAGATGGAATGATAAAGTATGTTTCGTTATATAACTTAGTGGTTAAATGAACTACTGCAGGGGTCATCCGAAGCGGCCAAGACCACTAAACTTTACCCTCCTTGATGAAAAGCAAACGCAGCTACATTTGAGCAGGAAAGGCGTACTCCGAATCGTTCACGCGTCAGTCTTTTTTTTGAATTTTCACTGCCCGAGCCATCGAAATGGAGAGAGCTTAAAGCCTGGCCTATCGGCAGATCCAGCCTTCACAAGACGTACCTAAGTATAATGGGTGCAGAAATAATACATCTTTGAAGGAAATTTCTCTGGAGGCAGGCAATATTCAAGGTACCGAAAATATGACAGTGTTGGTTAAATCGCTCGGACGACTTTCTTCGTCATCCAGGGAGGATTGGTTCAACTGCGTGTGGGTGAATATGTCGATTTCCCTCTGGTACTGCGTCTGATACATTTTCTAATCCCGCTCGTCTGTCACCCTGTCTACCATTAAGACACCCTCATGACCATTCAGCGCTGACGCTCGCAGACCCGCTGTCCCCTCCGATAATGCTGCATGTACAGCGATGCCACTTGCTACTCTTGATGAATCTCCTGCTTATATAGCACGGTCTTCCCTGTACTTTGAGCATTTGTTGCAAGTTATTTTGTCCAGCTGCCGTCTTCATATGCATTTATTTGGTGCTATGCTTAAATAGCTCGATACATTCATAATTATGGAGCCACCAGAAGAACTATATCCGGCCGTTTCTGCGTCCCCGCTGACGCCTTCGCCGTTCCAAATAACCTACATGGATAAGGCGCTAGGAGCAAAATTACTTCTCAGTATCATCGGCAGACTTTTGATTTAGATCCTAAGAAGTATGCGCGTGGTTTAAGCTCGAAATCATGGATATCGCGAATTTGACACAGGGATAGCAGCTACTTCGCCGAGACCATCAGAATAGACAGGAAGGTGAGGTAGCCAAATATATGAGATCAACAATTTCGGTAGTTGGACAGGCGTGCAACATTCGCCTCGCACATGAAACTGTCTGAGCAATGATAAGAACAAGCAGTCCACAAAATTCGGAATGCCTGACGGCTTAAGTGACCACCACCCTATCCGAATGCACTTGAGTAGTCGTTCCTCTACTTATTCATACGTGCGACTCGTCGCCCAGAAATTCTTATTTCGGGATTCCGGTTTACCTATAATACATTAGGATCATGTAGCACTTCAACGTGTGCTTAGTTTTAGTGACTGCAGGTTAATGAGCCTCACAATTTACACTATTCCGACACAGGATATTAAGAAACAGGAATTCGAAAGAGCCAGAAAGACACTTGCTTGTCATTTTCGCTGTCGAAAGAATTCCCTAATCCTGACGAAATATATTCCAATGCACATGTCAGCAGTGAACATACCATTAACATACGTAATTGGTCACTCTATCCTCAGCGCGTGTAAGAATGAAATGCGAACGAAATATATAAGAGGCAAATCCTACCCTGATGCGGAATTGGTCGATGTTCGTAACATGAGACAGTTTGCTCACTGGCGTCCAGAGAGAACTAGAAATAGTTTAAAATGATTTGGTTAGATCTAATTTGTTATTACTGACCAGTGAAGGTACTGTGGCGAGCAACCATCATAACCGGCCTGGCGTCATTGTTCAAGACCTCGCTGCCTCAAGGTCATTCACCCCTTGCAGCGAGGCGTCCCAGACGAGCTGACCTGAACCCACTCGGCCGACTTCAGCTCGGACACAATTCCGTCCAAACAGCGTCGCGGCTACCCATGCGCCACTTGAACGCGCCACCCCCTGTAACTAACAAAACAAGCCACTGGGACATCACCCCTCGGCAAATGCAACCATAGAAGTGCTTAAAAGGATTCTCAAGTGAACTTCCCAAACCACTTAGGTTGAATTCACATTCACAAGAAAGGCAAGTTAACGTGGAATCCGTCCATATGGCACGAGCCATGTCTGTTTTGACGGTGCCCCCAGTTTAATGACTTCGATGATGTCCGACCGGAAGAAAGTGAGAGAGGAAAGGAATGCTACGGTGACGTCAAAAAGTGAACGATGTAAATTGATGGTTATGTTTCGTTGTGTACGGGTGAGTTGGTTGTAAATGATTACGATGAATCCGAAAATGCCCAACAAGATCAATTCAGACACTGAGTATGAGTGCTTGTTTGGGCATACCTGTACGAACTGGACCCCTATTTCATTAGTCAACGCCCTTCTAGTTTTTTTTTTGAGTCTATTTTTCCTCGTGATATCATTTATTTGGCTAATGCTGAAGTCGACTGCTCTAAATGTAACAACTGTTAACCCGTAACAACGCTGGACCAATATATATTCTTCAGTCGGCCTCGTAATGCGGCCGCTTGATGGCATTTGCATCTGCTCAGACACGACATAGATGCTCAACATCACAGTTGACTTCAGCGCTTGGGTCTCCAGTATCCGGTTCTTCTGCTCCATTCCGTTTATCGCAACACAAGTCTCCAGCGTTTGAACACTGTTGGCAATGTGTCCCATCGGGACGTTATGAGGCTGTCTCACACCCAGCGTCAACCGCGCAAGACATTTTGATCTCCCCGGTATTTTCCATGGCCCATGTCTGCTCATAGTGCAGAAGGACTCTGCGATGTAGACTAGGGCGATATTGAGATTAAGCCACAGTTACTATGGAGGATGGACTGCGAAGGGTAAATTCGTTATTCCACTATTATTCAGGAAGACATACAAATTCGGTATGGAGTCCCCGGTGAAAGCATCCCTTCGCACAGATGGCAACAATCTGGAAAAGACAATGTCAGCGCACGTTTGGGCTGACGCGATTAGAGACAAGACACTTGCGACCCTTACTGTGGGTTCACAACGAGAACGTTTACAGGGCCGCGTAGTAGAAAGAAGGCCTTCGGTGTGCCGCGCCACCTCGCCGAAAGCCACCAAGTCCAATGCATGTTGTTTATCGCCAAACCGTAGCACTGCTGCAACTGGAATGATCGCAATATGCATAGTCGAAGTGATCAAAAACTCTCAGATTCGTAACACCATTAGCGATCCCATAAATGTGTTCAGGTCACTTTACAAAAGAATAAAAAGATTCATTATAGCACCTCTCGGGAGCTGATTACAGCACACATTCGCGACTCAAGACATGAAGCAGTACGGTTAGTACTTACTTTTTGATGCAACGCTTGACGATAAATGTCCAGTGCTATGTAAGGCACTGTTGACCTTTAGAACCCGAGTCATTGAGCCAGAATTAACGGGAAATGTAGTCGATAATCGATACGTTTTTCCGGTCGACCGTGAGCTTGAGAAGAAACCATTAAGTTTTCACAACAATCAGCGGTAACAGTCAACGAAAGCAGCCCAAACTTCGAAAACAGCCACTAAACCTTCTTCTCTGTGAAATAACTGCCACCTGCGACTATCTTCCATTTGCGTACCCACAGTTAGACAATTGTGGCAGATCAATACTTTCAAAATAAAATGCATCTCTCTCTTAAAAATTTGAAGCATTTTGTCCCCGGTACGAAACTGAAGTAGGCAAGAACGGCAGGATTTATTGGTACCAAAAAATTTCGCGACTGCTCTTCAGCTGCTTCCTGTCGCTTCATAAGAGAGATAACGAGTGAGAACAATACAACAGATTTGAATTCGTGCAGAAAATCGATGCAGAAACAGCAAGGTCAGGGTTTTGGACAAAGTTGGCTAATCGATAAAGTTAGTAACACAAACACCGTAGAGGAAGAAAGTGAAAAAAGGGGAACGTTGAAGAGCAAAAAATGAGAGGAGAGAGGGGGGATCATGGAGCTAGAGGCTACCATGGCAATGTTAGGTTAACCACGTGTTCCAATTGTTTACAAAGATCTGGTTTCACTCGTCGTATATAAGCCGCCTCCAGGTAACGCAATGTCCGAGTTGTTCGTGCCCGAACAAGTACTCGGAAGGAAGTTTTGGGGTCGACGGTGTGACCAGTATCAAGTAGGTGTTTCGTAATGGAGGAACGCAAGATCTTATTTTCTTGTCTTAGGAGCCACTTGGGCAGGTGCTCAATGGACCTGGCTGCCAACTGCCTTTGCGTTCACCCAATGTACTTGCATCCGCAAGTACATGTGAATTCATAAACACAATTTGACGTGGCGTGCATTGGCAGGGCATCCTTTGCCCGTGGAATCGGAAGTGGCTTAGTAGGACTGCAGAATACTAGTTCGGCTGCATTGTACGTCCTTTCAATGGCAGAACGTAGCCGTCGTTTGATAGTATTTAAAATATTGTCGCCCTTAAAGGGCAAAGATATAAAGACGGGCTTTTTCGGAGCTGAATGCTCTGTCAGTTTTGGCCGTGTAGAGTTGCTGTATTTGTGGATGAACCGTGCGGTGTATTCACGCTTAAGTAGAGCTTCTTTGAGGCGGACAAATTCTGCATCCAGTGTGTCATTAGAGCAAATGTTTCTAGCCCTTTGGAAAAGAACGTATACAAAGTTACGTTTCCATTGGATAGGTACAAAACTCAAAAAATGCAAGTAATGTCCCTTCCAAGTATTCTTATGTAAGACAGAACGTCTTATAGAACCATCTTCCTTTCCAAACATAAGAACATCCAGAAAGGATAGTTGGTTGTCTTGTTCCTTCTCCATTGTAAATTTCATCTTTGGATGCAGCTTATTCATAATAGAAAGCAGTTCTTCAGCCTCCTTAATGTCCTTAACAATAGCGAAAACATCATCCACGTATCTTTTGTAGAATGGAAGCTTCTTTAATTTGGTAGACACTTATTCTTCTAGATGACCCATAAAGATGTCAGCAAAGGTAGGGCCAAGTGGACTCCCCATGGCCACTCCATCAATTTGTCTATATAATTGACGATTAAAGAGAAATTGAACGTTCTTTGTACACAATTTTAATGCGTCTCGTAGTGTTTCTGGTGGCAGACGAGTTTCTGATGCATGGGTGCATATTATGTCTATTGTCTCATCTAGAGGTGCGTTAGTGAAAAGAGATTATACATCCAGGGATATCATGTATTTGCCAGAAATGTCTAGATTTTTGATTTCTTCAATGAAGTGGAAGCTGTCTTTTAGCGTGTAAGTAGAAAAACGTCGTCGGATTGGCTCTAATTGCTTGAATAGCCACTGTGCTAGTTTGTGAAAAGGGGAATTATACATAGATAAAATTGGTCTTAAGGGTATATCCCTTTTATGCGTTTTTGGTAAACCATAAAGTCTGGGAGTATATGAACCCCTAGGTTTTAGGCAAAACGCTGTTTTGCAGTCTAACGGATTGAGATTTGATCCTGATAGGAACTCTTGTGGCATTTGTGTGGTTGGGACGGGAGTGGACAGGCAAGGCGATGAGATTTGATAGCACTGATCCCGGACACCGTCGACCCCAAAACTTCCTTCCGAATACTTGTTCGGGCACGAACAACTCGGACATTGCGTTACCTGGAGGCGGCTTATATACGACGAGTGAAACCAGATCTTTGTAAACAATTGGAACACGTGGTTAACCTAACATTGCCATGGTAGCCTCTAGCTCCATGATCCCCCCTCTCTCCTCTCATTTTTTGCTCTTCAACGTTCCCCTTTTTTCACTTTCTTCCTCTACGGTGTTTGTGTTACTAACTTTATCGATTAGCCAACTTTGTCCAAAACCCTGACCTTGCTGTTTCTGCATCGATTTTCTGCACGAATTCAAATCTGTTGTATTGTTCTCACTCGTTATCTCTCTTATGAAGCGACAGGAAGCAGCTGAAGAGCAGTCGCGAAATTTTTTGGTACCGATAAATCCTGCCGTTCTTGCCTACTTCAGCATCTCTCTCTCTCTCTTACCTTCATCCACTAACTCTAGTGCATCTCATCACCTATTCATGTGGTGGACCTGAGAAATTGACTGATTGGGTCGACCAGTTGGTGCCCAATAAATTTAGGGAGATTTGAATTTGGGCCAGAAGTGGGTGATATCCTGTAAGCTGGTGTTTACGTCTAAAAATAAGGAACTCCATGGGATGGTGGATAAGTAAAGGAAACGATCCTGATAGGAACTCTTGTGGCATTTGTGTGGTTGGGACGGGAGTGGGCAGGCAAGGCGATGAGATTTGATAGCACTGATCCCGGACGCAGGGAGCGAGAGGACTTACTCTTTCTTAAAGTAAACTTGAACGTGATTCCCACAATTGCTGGAGCGTTACATTGACAGTTCGGCTGTCGCAAGCAATAGCGTCAGTCGCGTGCCGTATGGAGCGCTCGTAGTACCGGTAGATTTACGTACTGCACAATTTCCCCTCACTTACCTTGTTACGGTGACAAAACGAAGGTCAGGCGACCGGGGAGGAACGCAAAACGACTGACGAAACTACACAGCCCATCCACGCGTCACAGGCATGCATCAGGCCACAGTAAGGGCGACTCACACCTTGCCTGGATGACAATGAGGCCTAACATCGAGTCCTAAGAAGGCAAAGTTATTCCGGCTGCTGGCGACCTTCCTAGTCACAATTCTTAACGAATTCTGATAGACTCAGTGTGTCAGAGTTATTATTGGAGCGGCAGTCGCTGACGTTCAGTGGGAACGGATGTCCCAGTGTCTGCTCCACCCCACCCCCCTCTCCAATGCACCTGTCGGCCACCCGAGTCTTCTCTGAGTCCTGAGAAGGCAACGTTATTCAGGCTGCCGGCAACCTTCCTAGTCACGATTCTTAACGAGTTCTGATGTATTAGATGTGTCAGTTATTATCTCTCCAATGCACATGTCGGTCATCAGGGTATGTCAAGCAGCTTACGCTACGATAAGGCGCAGTGACTGGCATGGCCCGAAGACGAACCATCACACACATATAGGGCAGCAGTTAAGGGCTCGCTCAGATTTAACGCGGCCAAATTCGTGGGTGCCGTGAGCCAACCAGACCTCCGTTCTGGTCCAGCGCATCTGAGTCGCGGCCCGTTGTAGGGATCGATGTAGACCACTTAGGTACATTAGCTTCCGGCGTCTTCTCCCACACTTGGTGTCGACTATGCTAACACCCTGCCGCATCCTAGTAGAAAGTGTTTTCTCTCTAGTGTGCACCTGCTATCAACAAATTTTACAAAGGCTCTTATAACACGCTCCAATGAGAATTGGAACACCGGTTTACCAGGGACAACTTTAGGATTGGCGCGCACTGACTGGTCCAACCGGGGAGTTCACAGCTGCGAAACCACACCGCCTCCGCACACGCCACCTTTCCCTGGCACACCAGGAAATACCTAATTCAACAACGCCTACTTAAGTAAACGTAGTAGCAAGTGCCGCGTGAACTCAGCTCAGCCAGATTGACGTGTGCCGAGTTGGGGGTGAACAGAAATGGCAACTCATTGCTGCAAACATTATATACCCGGAAATATATGGTTAAAATGCGCGAGCGAACCAGTTGAATGCGGATGAACAAAGTATTCACAAAATAGAGTCGATCTGGTACACACAGACCCGAAGATTGCGGAGGTTAAAGCCATGGCCACAGAGGCACAATTTTGAAAAGGAAATTTACACCACTACTAGTAGTAGCAGCAAAAGGATAATTTGGAGGAAAGCCGAAAACAGTTTACAAAATAGAATAAGAGACGATGCGGGTGACAGTATTGTACAAGTGCAGATTATGTGCGGCCGGATACACATATGTAAGCGACAGAGAAGGGGGTTGGGAGATGGGTGTTAGAAGACGGTGAGCACTCGGCCCATTCCACCAGTAGTGAACGCGAAAAGTAGCCTTTGCACAATGGACGGAATTTAATTACCACATCGACGCTGTGCCGTGCCCTGAAAAGAGGAAAATAAGAAAGTTAACAAATTTCGAAGTCAGCTAGCATCGAAAAATCTGACAGGGGTGAACGCTGCGCAGGACACCGCAGAGTTGATACACCTCCACCCAAAAGTGTCACTCTTGTGGCGGTGTTACGCCAGTGGAGTTTGCAGCAGGCGCGACGTCTGAAGAAATAACGCGGGGGTTTAGTACAAGATCAGTCCACGTGGACCAGTTGAAATATCTTCGGTAGTTGATCAATAATCACGCAAGTGACAGCGATTTGACTTTACCCAAGGCGAAATAATCCCAAAAGACGACTCTTTTGATGGAAACTGAGGACGTAGGCAACTGATACCGGCCGGTAAAAGTTAGGATAGATCACTGGTTTTCTGACGGGCTGCCGTTTCTCTCCTCAACTCCGATGCAAATTTCAAATGGTGAGCGGACGGTAGCGGTCTTCCGTCATAAGCGACGATCACCGCCGTCACTGTCTCGCAGACCCTACTTCAGTCCCTTTCAACAACCACTAAGCTCAAAAAGGGTGGGGCCGATCGGAGATGGGCGTGCGCACACTGATTAAACCCGCATCTGTGCGCGTCACACACGAGCTAGGCCATCGGTTCGCCGGAATGGGGCACCAGTAATATCGAGTTGATCGGAGACGGGAGTCACAATGAAGATCGAATTAGGAAGAAAATAATAGAATTATACATTAGATCCGAGCAGGAGCGAACTCACCGTGGTCTCCGTTGAACACATGCTACAATTAGGATCCAAGGAGTGAAACCGAAAACGAGGCTGACCATCTACAATATCCTCGACGGGTGCTTTGAGCGAATGTTTACCAGGGTAACTTTACCAACTGGTGCATGCGCAAACGAGATGAAACCAAATTCATCCGGCCTCAAGTTTTGGTAGTCGTTATTGTACGTGAAGCATGTATCAGAAGTAGTCAGTCGCCTTCTCACAACACCTGGAGTTCGGGTTACACACGGACCGGAGACAAACGTCCGGCACCAAGTCACGAAGCCGAAAGAACTGCCACGACAGGGAACGTGCAGGAGTGGTTTGCCGCATCTAATGCAGTTGTGGTCAAAGCAACTGGATGACTGCTCCTGACGCGGGTGGCCGACCAAGCAGCAGCAGCAACAGCAGCAGCAGCAGCAGGAGGAGGAATGACGATAATTCCCCAGTCGCGACTCATTCGACGAGATAAGGTAACATCCTCAAGGTTGACAAGGCCGAAATTCTTGTAAGAGGTGACAACTGCGTGAGCCGCTAGCTGCTCAAGTCATTGTTCTCCGGTCCGCGGTCGATTAAGCAAAACCACCGGCTCCCATATGCTGTGTTGAGATTCCCCCTAGGCAGAGTAATTAGCCACGCGGGGGAGGATGCCGGCGACCGACGACAATTAACGACTCAGATACGAACGAACAGGCCACAATTGCATCAAATACAGCCCCCCACGATGAGCGCTGAAACTGTTAATTATAGTAAGCATATGGTGGCACAATAACTGCGTCCAATAAACAGCGCGCTCCTTGGGTCTCCATCAGCCTTATCAGCAACTGTCTCGGATGATGGGTTCGAGTGAGAGTCCGAAGCGCCCGACCAATAGACTCCTTGTTTGAGAGATCACATCTTCTTCTTCCTCTTCTTCTTCTTCTTCCTCCTCCTCTTCTTCTTCTTCTTCTTCTAAACTGCTACCTGCAACTCGCCTATTCCTTTCTACTGGTAGGCATTCATGGGTTGCCGTTGCTAACAATGTTAGCACTTTTCACCACGAGGTTGTTACATAGGCAATGTGTGAGTGAGTACGAGGCGAATGAGTGATGGGTGGTGTTGCAGTTCATGTGCACATGACCAAATAGGTCTACGGGAGGATGGAATAAGTACCAATTACTCTTTAACCAACTCCCACAAAACCGAATCGGTGAAATAAAACGCCTCCTCCCCTCATGGAAGGATGGATGACGGTAATCCTGCATAAGCTGTTGGTCAAACAAAAAGCGGAGCAGCAAGAGGCAGGTGAAAGTGGACATACTTTAACTTGAATTTCCGAGCTGATGGCTTTATCAGAAAGAACGGCGATACTAGCTGACCCAGACGAATAATCAGGGGGTTTGTGTGCGATAAATTCAGCAGGGAGACCTGTGAGGACACAAAGAAGAGAGAGAGAGAGAGAGTGAACAGACAGACAAGACAGCGCAGTGCAAAGGAAAAATGCGAAGATAGACACCTTCTGGCATGCCTGATGTGCCCCGGAAAGCAGATGGGGCAAAAGTGGAGCAAGCTAATGGTTTTTACTAACATTTAGCTGGGAGACCGTGAGGCCGCCATCCCACAGTTAAGCGTTTGTCTAGTGTTTGAGTGACCCCCCCCTCCCAGGGTTTACACAGTCTGGGGCTGGGCTTTGGATAGCTAGCGACACTTCGGAGTCCCCTGTTTTTGATGCACTGTTTTCCCGAGATTTGAATAGGGCAAAGACGACGAAACATGTAGAATTTACTGACGTCAAAAAATTTCGTGACCGTCATCGTGACAAACTGCTCAATTAGAGAGCGGCCTAGAGGGATGAAACGTAAATGTCAAATAAACCGCGGGTCACGCATTGAACAAGGTGCGCCATATAGGGGGAGCTGTGCGCAGGACTTTCCAGTCTCTGAAGATGGGTAGACGAATCAACTACTCGAAACGTCGGACCTCTAATAAACCCCTCTCGGTGAACGCCTCTTCTTCCTTGAAACAGCGGACTGTTGGGTCCACTGTATAGCCAGTATCCACTAGGTGCTTCGTAATCCAACTCCTAGGCCTCTTATTTCCCGTTCTTACCAGCCATTTCGGCATATGCTCAGCTGACCGACTTGCCAACTGCCTTCGCGTGCGCCCAATGTATTTTCATCCGCAACTACACGTAAATTCATAGATTTCGTTTGATGTGCATGAATAGTCTGAATGTCCCTAGTTGGTCTAACTGGAATATACATTGTAGTGCTTATGAACAGCAAGTTAGAGGAGGCGTACGTTCGTTCAGTCGTGTATCATCTGATCACGTTTAACATATTGTCACCCTTGAAAAGGGGGGTAGATGCTGACCGAGTTTTTTGGCGTCGATATTTCTGAAGGACTTCCTTGTCTGGAATGGCGATACTTACCGATGAATTTCTCTGGATGCCTGTTTCCAAAAAACTCTTTTCAGGGAACTGATTTCGTCATCGATCGTATCCGAGGAACAGATTCTAGTGGCTATATTGAAAAGGCACAAAAATGAGTTTCGCTTTCTCTAAAACGGAACAAAGCCGAGGAAGTGCATGCACTGTCCTTCCCAGACACCTTTTCAATATGTGGATCTCTGAATGGAAGTACCTCCTCTTTGTCGCTGACGTCCCAGAAGGAATTTGACTGATAAATAGTTACTTTATTTCCCATTTATACCAAACCACGCGCTAACCCATGCCCAGTTACAAGGAGGGCTTAAAACGTAATCACAGAAGTGTTGAAAGTAAACATCAAAGACAACAAGCAACACCCTGTATTTCCAGGTAAATCGACTTACCTTGACCGACGAGTCGCTCTGGGTGAATGTGGCCGGGGAACCAATGATTCGCAGGGAAACGGGTACATGTGTGCGCCCGATTGGCTGCAGTGGTAGAGCAGGGCCCCGACCAGCAGCGGTATGCGGGGGACTTGCACTTCTGGATGGACTGTTGGCCGAGGCAGACTAGAAGGAAAAAGAGAATGGTAGATTCAAAAATATCAACAGTGGTTTCGGTCTCCGATCATTTGTAAAAATGTCTCGGATGCTATCTGTTGTCTAAGATCTGTCGGAGACAAAAATAACGAACAGATGCAAACCTTTTAACAATAGACAGGGAAAGTGCTGGAGAGGAGTGACCTGACCTTTCTCCTTTAGATCATTTTCGCTTGAAAATACTACTGTTGCATTAAGGAATACAACAACTGATGGTTCAGGACGAACGATCATCCAGAACTTGCTCTTAAGGGGTATGCAGGATGCACGGTCATATCTTTATTTTCCTCTTTGATCTCCCAAAGCAGTCTGCGATGCGACTGAAATTTCTTGGCTGTAAATGCTTAAGGAAGTGCGGCATCAAGACATCCTTAGGCCAGAAATTTACTTTCTCAAGGAAGTAAGAAAGACCGGAGCAAGTAACGCAGGAAACTGGCCGTCAGGGATTTGGAAAGCCTCCATAACTCAGCTCCAAGAAAATCCAGTAATCTGCACAAGTCTTAATTTGAACAAGCTCTTTGGCACGCCTCAGAGGTCTAAAAACGAATCAATGCTAACCCCCTATGGCTGCTTCAAGACGACTCTCTGGCTGGCAGTATTTTTTTTCTCATACTCAGTTTCTGGGACAACCCTTTTCATATTGACCCAACTGTGAAAAAGTCGGCGCCTCGGTGAGCCTGGTAGTCATCTTGTGGATTCTAGGTGAATTATCTAGGAAATCCTGCCTGGGCAGTCAACTTACTGTATCAGATTTGGTGGATTCCAGACGGTGCAGTACGTTGGGCGGGTAACTTGACCTAAATGTGATTAAACTAGCCTCGTCTGGCGGGGCCTCGTAGCTCAAGTGGTTAGAGCGTTGGCTGCGCTAAAGCCTTCACCTTACTGCGTAGGTTCGAATCCCACCTAGGCGCCGAGTTTTTCACAGTTGGGTCAATATGAATTATTCAAAATCTGCCAAAATATCTATGAGATTCAGAAATATCAACAGGAGTAGTTTAGGTCTCCGAGATTTCCGTCACAAGCGTGGCCGGCAGAATGAGGAGGCTGAAAAGGAGCCAACAGGCTCCCGTACGTCAACGAATTATGATGGCCCAGCATAAAGCCGCGAAACCTCCTGGCGGTAGAGAAAGTGTTTTCGTGACAATGCATTTGAGAGGGAGGATTTTTGCTAATCTTAGCAGACCAAACGGCTGGATCGTACAGATATGATAAAATAAATTACGCCGTATTGCCCTAAACCGGCCCCTAGGCTAGTGTCACTCAATTTTTAACATAGAGGCGGAAATCGGCAAGTCTGATGGACTGCAGGGTTGAATCACAAACGCCCGAGTAATCCAAAGACGCCCAAAACACATAAACGCAAGCTCAGATGAGTAAGTATATGTTTACAAGTATGAGTATATTTAGGACTCAATGACCATAGAACACTTACTCGAATCTTAGAGCATGCAAAACTCGCGAGACTGTGATGGTGATTTGTGGCCTATTAGCCGTCGCCAACCACTCATACTCAAGCCAGGTTTGGATAACCCGCATTATTCGATCACTGAGCATGTCCCGTAACCGAATCGGTAGACGGCCTCTTAATGATTATTAATATTCCCGATCGAAAAGGACATAACGGCGAGTCCATGGTTCAATAGTAGAGGATTGGATTACTTAACATTTAGTGACTAAGGGATCCTATTACGAATCCCAGGTTCCGCACAGTCAGGGCTGGCAGAAAATGGCTAATAAAATTGAAGCGGCAATCTCCCGTCTCCGTCGATACTCGACATTCACGGGTGATATAGGCCTGGATGGAAAAATTGATAACAATAAAGAAAACGGAAGAAAGGGTGTATGAAAAACGTAAACACTAGCTGACTACCGCCTGGCATGAAAAAATGACACGGCAGACGAAGAGGAATGGGCAAGAAGCACATAGTTCAAGCTACCACCACTAACCGACATCTCGGTCAATCGACCTCGGCCCGACCATTGGAAAGAATGCCGACGACTGGTAGATGGAGTGGACACAGGGTTTGTGTGACCTGCGGAAGACGAAGGGGTGGGGCGCGCTTGCGGAGAGGGCTGGGACACCATGGAGGCTTCGGTGCTGGTAGGCTGCTTCGGAGACTCTACACACCTGACCATAAGTGTCAGAGGTGGCGTCTCCTTGAGCTCCGTGTGAAGCCACTGGCGCCAAAGTTCGGGACGAACAGATGATATGGGGGCAGTCGAAACCTCGGCTACAGCGACAAATTAAGATAAAGGGAAGTTGTCTCAAATACAAAGCAAATGCCTGAAGTGTGATAAGTCGTCAGTGCGTAATCTCATCCAGTCAGCACAGTAAAGTCTTTTATTCCGCAAATACCGCGTGTCTTTTTCAATGTAAGCCTCCTGAAGTCCAGACTTTTTCCCAATAAAATTTCATCCTTTGTTATTTTACTCGGTCGTCCAGTCCCCTTCGCGGTCCAATCGGCGAATCGCTTTTCGACTAGGTTAGCAAGCTGGTGTTTTCTATTCGGTTTTCGAGATCTTTCTACTCCACTGCGATTAGTTATCGGTTCAGTAGTTGCATATGTAAAGCGTAGCTTTTTTGATGTTTTCCCTCCAGGAAAAGACTCCCGTTCTTAATGGATATCAGTGTTAAGAAGTGCCCGTCTCGAATACCTAGACGTCAAGTTACTGCCGAACGGAAAGTGTAGGGATGAGTGTCGCCCGCGTCGATTCTACTCACAGCTGTCAATGAGCCCATAGCGAAAGACAGAAACCGTAATCTAACCATAATCTTATGTATCTGAAGCATATTCAACGGTTTATTTGAACAAAACATGTGCTAAAAACTGAGTGTTAATCAAACGAAATGCAAAAAAACTCAGAAAGTGGAGGTCATTGGGGTTTTCAGCTACAGTTTTCATTGGCAAGGGGTCAACTGCACATTTCTCACATGAGTTAGAGCCTAGATAGGATTCCAACGAGTGATAAGCAGGGACCAAGGTACGTTGTTAAAGACAGGATGATCACATTAGGCCAACATCAAATACTCAGCAGGCCAAGTTCGAAAAAGGCAGGCAAAATCGCATCGGATAAAAGCCCCCTCGCACCCGAGCGTACCGAGTTCCGTCCAGTTCGCGCCTATTTATGGCAGGGAGTGCTGGACTATGTGCCCCTAAAACGAGCCACGCGGTGGATGCGCTGTACTAACAGAGGGGGCTAGATCGGACTCCCGCAGTCCTCATCGGTAATGCGCGCCCATAACAAATGTCAACATTAGGAGTGCGGTGACAGGCCCAGTTGCAAGTTCACGCCGTGCCAGTCGCGATCCCTGCCGGCTCCCATTTTGTTGTTGTTGAAAATGCCGGTCAAATGTTTCTTGTGGATCAAGGGGTCTGGTGGTACGCCTTTGTGCGTGTTTTCACCGTGCCAGCCACCTGCGTCCTCTTCCACTTATGGTCTTCTCGGCTTGGTTATGACATCCAGTCCAAGTGAGGGAGGAGAGGGTGCGGTAGGGGCAGAGCAGGTCTGCTGCCACTATAAACTAGTTCACGGGTAAGTCACCGTCCCTGCTCTCATCCTGGTGTAGAGCACACGGTGGACATAGTCGAAACCGACGATCAAACTGTGCAGGAAACGTAATCCAAGACGGTAGGTTCGTGGCCACTACTGACTATAACGATTCCCTGAGTGAAGAACACAGGTTTCGGCTTGAATGAGGTAGTGGGCACTCGATGCAAAAATACCGTTGTGATGGACTGAATCACACAAGGCAGATCAAAGTGGGCTGAGACATTTTGGCGCCGGATTCACAAATTCAGTGATGATGCCTTAGTGACAACGCCGTCATCTAATTGGAGGCGACAAAAGGGATGTCAGCTCCACACGACCCACGAAGGCATGCAGGTAAGTCCTGAACCTTCACTAGGTAGTACTCGTGATTATTGTCGGCATCTAACCCACTACACAACTACTGCATAATATGCCCGGCAGGTTTACAGACAGTTGAAAACAACGAAACCACATGTTTATTTGGCAAAATATCCAAATACAGGAAAGGCATAGGCCTAGTTTCGTCGAACTGCAAACAAACTCACACTCCTTCATCACCAAGATGAATCTCTTCGGTATTTTTCAGTTCAAAATGCTTGCACACGACAATCTTATTTGCATAAACAGAAAAGTGCATATCGATTCTGACTGCATAGCCCCTGGAATATTCCAATGCCTCTGTTGTTAGGCCACGATCACTAGGAATGTAGGCTACGTCCTCCCCCGCGCCCAATTTCCCACCTGAGTGACTGTAGTTCCAAGGGACCCTCTCGACAAAGATGTTAAAAGATTCTCCAGTACCAAATCGTTAGCATCTCATTTTGGCATCTCTCATTAGTGAGTATATGACGACGTTATGTTGCCAGGAGCTTTTCTGAGTTCGGTTAGATTGCCCGTAGGCATGCTGCCACCGAGGAATCAAATACTGTCAATAAGCACATTAAACTTGGACAATATATCGGCTTTGTATACCAGTCATTTCATTGCAGAAGATGGCCACGAGGTGGCCCTTGTGTCCCAAAAATGCTCAAATCCTCTTTCAGTTCCAAAACCCGACTAGAGGCTTTGCCGCAAGATAGCCAGCGAATCTTGGTATGCGGGGTTTAGTGGTGGCGTTCTAATTCCAGGTCTCTGCAGACTTGGGCAGATAAAAGCTTCTTTAATGGCCTCGCCTTGATGAGGCCCACAATGTGCTTTTGACTTCCGATCAGCTCCAATTGCCTTTCTGGCAGATTTATGAAAATCTACACATAAATCTTTGCTTCTGGACCCGTCCATACGCCACACTGGTGTAGCCCAAAACATTATTTGGGTTTCGGGTTAAGGTAGCTTCCGGAAGGCAAAAATACATTGATGAACACAGAGGCGTTCACCGGGACAGGGTCTGGCGTTTCGAGTAGTGACTTTGCCTGCCCATGTTCTGAGACTGAAGAGTTCTATACACAGTTCTCATTACATAAAGCGTTTCGTCTCGTCGTCAACGCCACATTAATCAGCCTCCCACCAGCCTGACTTCACGAGCCCTCATGATAGGAGGCGTGAAACAATCGGCGCCACCAATTAGCACCGCGGTCAACGAGGGCGGGGCGGGGCGACGCAGGTCACGGTGAAACGGGGGTCCGGTTCAGTCCCAAAATCGGCATAGGTGGCCTACACATCAAGACGAGTTGTCAGCATGACACCTCAGCCCCTGAAGATGGGAAGGCGAAATCATTGCTCCAAAACGTTAAACCTCGAATAAACCCCTCCCGGTGAACGTTTCCTATGCTTTTTTGACATGTCGACTGGAAATGGCATTTTTACTAACATTGCATTGATGATCGCATCAACCGGCGCACATGACTTTCTTGCCTGACCTCATCAAAACCCCCCTAGAGTCCGCGAGAAAACGCCCAAAAGGATAACATGCACGAGTTCTCACAAGGCTACCCTTTGATGTACGTGCGTTGCCCACATGTACGCTACCTGTGGTGCCAGGGTTTTACTCTCAAAGTTCGTTCCTACACAATCGTGTTTACTAAATCGTTCAGCAATGCAACTAGGCCCTTTTTACTTGTCCGCTTAGAGGAACCTTAGGTACGTGGTGCGTCGATGTAAAGGTGAAATTCGCCTAGGTGGCATCCGACGAAAGCGTTCACGTGGCGCACCACTGGCTCCAAAGTCTGCTGTTTGCGGAAACCCCACACAGGGGTGCGCCTTCGGCGAAGAGGAATAGAAGGCGACTATGTAGGAGGCAGTTGGCTTCCGGTACGTTGGATGCAGGTGACTCTCATTGTTAGTGTTATTATACCAACTTACCTGCAAGGAGGGAGTTTTCCTTCTCGTCCTCCGCTGGTGTGATATCAAGGAGGTCAAAGGTGTGGAGGCGACTGGAAGAGGTGTCCGCACGACTTGCGTCAAAAGATCGTCTCCGCACAGCGTCACTGTGGTAACTGAGAAAAGTATAAAACAAAGAAAGTTGTTATTCCCCACAGGTCTCCCTCAGACTTTGCAAATTCCAGTTTTGTACGGCAATCGTGACTGTAACTACTTTTTTAAGAATGCCTTGTGCACGCATGGTGAAGAGTGAAAGATACACCCTATCAATCTCAATGAAAACAACTCCTTATCGAGTCAGACGAGCATGGCAGTGTCGTTTGCGGCTTCTCATCCGCCTAGCACGACACCAGTACCACACACAGGCGTCAACAGTAAGGACCACGGGCACATGTGAATATAGTTAGGCACACCTGGAACACACGGATGCGTACGCCTTTCGCAGAGTAAACGTGGAGAAGCACGGCGGTAAAGGACAATCCAAGATTGCTCCAGAAAACCTGAGTCACAGTATAATGACGTCGAAACACTGCAATCACCACACTTTTCTTACAGCGCAGGTATCACTCTGATAAAATAGAACTGTAACGTCAAAGAGAACTTAGCTACTGAAACCAGCACGGGCAATGAAATACGGAAGACGCCGAGTCCCGTGAAACAGAGACTGAAGGCCTCATATGGGCCATTGGTTGGGAGAGGAGACTTCCGAGGTGATGTAATGAGCCTGGGCTTCCACCTAATCAGGAGCAAGAACAGTTGGACAGGGTGTCCAACGACTCAACTAGGCTCCTATCCGTCGCAACCTGAACCACGACGAGTGGTTATGACACCGCGCTCAGGGCTCAAAGTTGATGGTAAAGGGCGATTCTCCAGGCTACTGTGTACGGCAATTAGTCTGAGAGACCAGCGCGCCTTCAGCGCGGTTCAGGAAACTTGCTCAATTGATTTTTGGCCCAGTGTAAGGAGAGCAGCGACTTAACGCGTTCACCTCTGCAGGGCCGAGGCCAAACATGCCTAACTGCAGCTGCTGGTTCGGACTGTTTTCATAACGCATGATCGGGAACAGATTGACGCAAAGACGATAAAAAGAGAGTAATCCAGGTGACTTCGAAGTCTACTATGCATAATTTATGCCGGCTACCTCCCGGAAGAATATATAAGCATATGCGCGGATATATCCAAGATCCGTACAAAAAATATACTTTATTTAAGCAGTGACCCACGTAGTTGGGAAGGTCATAGGTGGAGTCACTATGACGATGTGTGGATTAAATTGAGATGCTTGGTGGACATAAGTATTGCAGCTTCGTATAATCACTCTTTACGACTCTGCAGAACATTTCGGAATGTAAATAAACAAAAAAATTGTTGTTATTCCCCTACAGGTCTCCCTCAGGCTTTGCAAATTCCAGTTTTGTACGGAAATCGTGACTGTAACAACTTTTTCAAGAATGCCTTGTGCACGCAAGGTGAAGAGTGAAGGATACACCCTATTAATCTCAATGAAAACAACTCCTTATCGAGTCAGCTAACAATAAGACGAGCATGGCAGTGTCGTTTGCGGCTTCTCGTCCGCCTAGCACGACACCAGAACCACATACGGGCGTCAACAGTCAGGCACACCTGGAACACACGAATGCGTGCGCCTTTCGCAGAAACACGGCGGTAAAGAGCAATCTAACAATGCTTCAGGAAATTTGACTCATAGTATGATGAAGCCGAAACACTGCAATCACCATACTTTTCTGACAGTGCAGGCTTCACTCTGATAAGATAGAACTTAAACGTCAAAGTGAGCTTAGCTACTGAAACCAGCACGGGCGGTGAAGTACGGAAGACGCCGAGTCCGGCGAAACAACAACTGAAGCCCTCCTATGGGCCATTGGGTGGGGGAGAAGATGTACAGCGCTATGCTTTCTTTCAGTCGTTTGATAGAGAATCACGTCATCTTTATAGTTTATACTCGAAGAAGGAGTATAATTATGTTTTTAAAAAGTTTCCAATTATGAGATTTTTATGACCGCGTAATGCCCATTCATATAGCATCGTACCTGTCCGTTTAGCACTGCTCCTCGTGAAATGTACAACATAATCCGCATTCATTGCAGAATTTTACAGACTCCATATGGTATGTTTCTAAAGGCATTGGAGAATATGTGATTTCTTTTACTCGGAACGCATGCCCTTATGAACTGAAATCACTAAGCGCTAATGCAACGACTGATCAGGCTCCAAATTATTCGGCAATTAGAAAATTTTTCAAAACCTAATTATACTCCTTCTTCGAGTATAAAATATAAAGATGACGTGATTCTCTATCAAAGGACTGAAAGAGAGCAAATTTTGTTAGTGGTTCCTAGAAAATATATTTGAATTTGCAAGACGATCGAAAATGAATGGGAAAAAGGCATGCTACTTAAGTGGTCATTTTTTTACCGAATACGGTTTCTACAGGGGTTTGAAAGACAGTGTATTTAAAAGCTGACATCCTGCCGAGTCTGAAATATCATAGAATTATGCCGCAAGATAATCAGTATTACAACCGCGCCTAAGTAAACCCTCTTAATTGGAAACGCTTTTCAAAATTTCAGCCAACATTTCATTAGATCGGTCACTCACTGTGATGAGCCTGGGCTTCCACCTAATCAAGATCAAGAACAGTTGGACAGGGTGTCCAACGACTCAACTAGGCTCCTATCCGTCGCAACCTGAACCACGACGAGTGGTTATGACACCGCGCTCAGGGCTCAAAGTTGATGGTAAAGGGCGATTCTCCAGGCTACTGTGTACGGCAATTAGTCTGAGAGACCAGCGCGCCTTCAGCGCGGTTCAGGAAACTTGCTCAATTGATTTTTGGCCCAGTGTAAGGAGAGCAGCGACTTAACGCGTTCACCTCTGCAGGGCCGAGGCCAAACATGCCTAACTGCAGCTGCTGGTTCGGACTGTTTTCATAACGCATGATCGGGAACAGATTGACGCAAAGACGATAAAAAGAGAGTAATCCAGGTAACTTCGAAGTCTACTATGCATAATTTATGCCGGCTACCTCCTGGAAAAATATATAAGGACATGCGTGGGATACCGTTGGCCGTGCATTGCACGGGACGGTTCATACAACAATGCCGAAGCCAACTACTTTTATATGATCTATCCAAGATCCGTAAAAAATATACTTTATTTAAGCAGTGACCCACGTGGTTGGGAGGGTCATGGACGAAGTCGCTATGACACTGTGTGAATAAAACTGAGATGTCTGGTGCACATAAGTATTGCAGCCTTGTATAATCACTCTTTACGACTCTGCACCACATTTCAGAATGCCTTAAAAATTTCCAACGCCTAATGTATACAGCCGAATGGATGCAACGATTAATGACCCCAACGGTCCGAGAAGATAACATCAGGGAGAATGGGGTCTGGGTGTTAACCTAGTTGCGGATTACCCGGCACGTTCGCACGTCCGGTACCTTCCTTGAACTGGTATGCCGGAGAAGGGGATGAAGATACCAGCCTCTACACCTGACAAGTACAGGTTGACATCCCTCTAGTAGGCGGCATCACACAGCCGTTTTCCATCTACTTTCAGTTTGATGGGGTATTCAGCGAGCAGGCGGCTATGGTTTGCGGGCTCAAGTTGACCTTGGCGGGGCAAGTGCTTTTGAGAGGGGAGTGGTCAGCCAATCAACATTAAGAGCAACAGAGAATGAGGCGTTCACCGGGAGAGGTGGATGACTCACTCTCTTTTGATTTACCACCTGGGAATCGCATTTTCACTACTACCGACCAAGAGCAACGTCCACTCCAACTACCGTCACGTGCGGAGCTGGTTTCCTAACAGACAGAAAAGCTGGCGGCCACGCCAACAAAAAATGGAAAATGTTGGGCGCACTGAAGGTCCCTGTCAGCCACGAGGCAGCGAAGCCTACGTCCGTCCCATTTTGCATATTATTCGAATTTCCACGTTGCGTCAAGTCACGTATAATGAGGAGAAGTACTGCCAGGGCCCTCACGTCAAGTAAGACTAACAATGTGCTAAGAACCGAGACGTTGGAAAAAATGTGCGGACGTACTATGAAATGCAGTAATATTTGGTACCTTATATTAACATTAATATGTAAAATTTAATAGGCATGGTAGAAATGATACCTAGCGGTTAAATGTGAACGCAATAGCCGCGACCACGTCCTTTCCGGCGGCATGGCGGCACTGTCTTCACATCTCTAAAGGAACTATATTTATTACAGAACCTAACTTTATGCGAAAGTAGAGAAATAGAAGAAAGTCTTGTTGAAGAAAAAAACAAATCGGACATTCACCTTTGGCAGAACTGTTGTCGAATTACCTCGTCTCCGTGGTAGAAGAGTACGCGAGCGACGATTGGTTTACCAGAGATTGTAATGTGGACATTCTGTAATAGTAAACAGATTTTTTACACAAGCAGGAAGGGCAGAACGATTTTTCAAGAAGTTTATCAAGTAAGGTAGTGAAAATTCGACAGGCAGGCCCACCATTAGGTGTATTAAACAACCCGGCAGATGGAGGTGCTGGCCTGGGAGAGAGAAGTTGGTAGTTGTGGACAGCAGGAGTCACTTGTGTCATGAAGCATCGACCGATCTATCTGGACCTTAGGCAAAACAGACTTTGTCTGAAAAAATGGAGTGATTGATCTAAGTCAAGCTTGGCTCTGGCTAGCATTCGAAGAGATTATCAAAATGTCCACTTTTAAACTGCAAAACACTGTCTGTTTGGCGCAGACAGAACTTAGCGTTGAGTTTAGCACGCTTTGCGTTGAAATACTAAGGAAGTTGTCGAACTGCTCGAATGTTGTGCACATTATTTCCGTGCCTGTATGCTCCCAAAAAGTGAGTAGAATCGTGCCCAAACGGATATCGCTCGACTCAAGTGCATCGTCAAACTTTCAAGTTACTTCATCTGTGATTTTGTTGCTCCTGACGAGTCGGCCCCTAAAACAGATTGCGCTGTAAGTGCTGAAGGCGGAGGCAGGTTGGCTCACGATGCGCGTCAATCAGGCTGCGCGAAGTTTGTATCAACACACGACCATTGCTGTACGTGCATGTGGTGGCGCGCCTCCGACGTAGGCCCACAAGTAGCGTCGGTCAATGCGCCAAATCTCATCACAACCTGGCTGACGGGCTCGGGCAGACAAGTGCGAGGGGGACGAGCGAGGTTGACGATGGTAGATCCGCCCATCGGCTTAGCCCTCGCAATAGTAAGCACAACGCTCACAGAACCTACAACCACGCGTTAAAAATCGTGGTTTAGAAGGTTGGCAACAAACGGAATAACCCGATCCTGTCAGTCAGGCTGCAATGGCTCCTTCTCAATGTGGCCTTAATGTTGATCTCAGGCACGTGAGGTCCAGGACGCCCTACCGTAGCCTAGCACATGCGGCGCGGGCCAAGTCGTGTGTGTGGTGCGCGTAGACGGGTCGCTTATTTCTGTCAGTCGCTGTGCCCGAACCCACCTCCGGCCGTCCTGGCATTGTCGTGCCACCGAATACAAATGGGGGGGGGGGGAAGAGTGTGGTGTAGATGTCGTGCAATTCTGTCTCACTTCTCCACGCGCAGATTACTGCTGCCGGGTTCACCGCGCGGGGACGTTGCCGTTTGCGGTGGTTGCACCGTCCTGTTGAGTCAACATCTCCAATGGCAACGGTACGCGAGATTTACTGGGTTCAATATCCCTATTTCTAAATCGAGCCGTTCAATATTCGTCAATAGTCGTTCAATTTTCGTCTAACAGAAAGACGGAGGCCTAAAAGCGCAGTCCTCCACGACGTCGGTTTCCTAATTCCGTAGTATTAACCGAAAATAACTGTCACTTATTACTTTAACACATCACCCTAAATGCATACAAACACATTCAGCATCAGGCCTTTCAGGTTTTCATTGTTAGACAATTAATTGCGTAGTTTTCCCATGCCTTTGCTTATGCTGCTGCTTTAGAAGAGAGTAGGGACTTTCCCTCTAACACGACACCGAACTGAAAAACATGTTGAAAAGTTTTCCGAAGAGTTTGAGCGGGTGTGCAGCCTCTTGGCGAGAAGACTATAAAATGCGTTGCTAGCACTACACACGTCGTTGTCCTTTACACAAGAAGCGAGGCCCTGATCAGTGTCCTCGCACACACTTGGTTAATGGTTGAATGCGTTCAGCATGAAAAGTAGATGGCTAACACATGTAGCTCTATTAAGTGCTGTCCACAGAAAAACAAAGACTTGAACAACAACCGGGTCGGATAATCTGAAACCTGCCAACTACTCCGCGCTAGGGATCATGGCTCCCAAGCGGTCGGAACACACTTATATGGAGCCTCCATGGCAGCCAATCACACGCACCCAGATCCGCCATCACTCAACCAACTCCACAAGCTGACACTGACGGGCTCTCGCCTGATACTCATTCATTCCTGCTCACATTAGCCTAGAGGATGCGCCCACAGGCTTAGAGCCGGTCGCGTGTCGGTGGCTAGAATCATTATTGAGTTTCTGTACAGAATGTACGACTTCTACCGGCGTCTTTCCTCCTCCCCTTCAAAACTGCTCTGGACTGTGCTTATTGTGGCGTTCGGAGTACACTTACTATATAGACTCCATAAACTGCTGACTCCGACGTGATCGCAGCGTGTGAATTAGTTTATAACGATTGCTAATTCGCGCAGAATCTACCCAACTCTCTCCTCCGTAGCTCACATGAGAGCTCGGTGTCATGCCAGTCAGGAAGACCGGGGGCGGGATCCAGAGCAGTGGTTGGCAAAGATGAACGGTCCCTATACGCGTGTCAGGCATGACCTCGTTCGCTCACAATCGACTTGGTTTTCACCGAAACAAGAAGAGGGGGAGGCTTGAATCCCATCTGATTAGAAGTGCCATGGAAATCACGTCAATAAGAAACCATTGCAGCCTGACTACCCGAGCAGAGAAGAGGATCGACTGATCTCGTTAGTTGGCAGTCTCCCAAGCCACGGTTTTTTTAGCGTACCGTGGGTTTAAAAGGGCATCAGACATGCGCTGAGTGCCGCAGGGGCGCAGTCCCCAGAGTCGACCTGATCCTCTTACCTCTTTCAGTCCACTGCGCGGAATGGACAGTTATCTGATGTGGGGATTGGACGCAGGCACTTGGTGCGGCGCGGGCCTGTCCCCAGGCGTACCGCCACACCCCCATGTGTGGCATTTGTTATGCGTGCGATAGCCCAATCTGATCCCCGTGTTGGTCCAGCGCAACTCCCGTATAGTTTGTTGTAGGGAGGGGGGTCAGAGGAAACAATAAGCAACGTAAATTCAGTGTAAAGTGCTGTAATACGCTATTTAACGCCCACCGGATGAGTTTAATGCCGTTGCCCAAAATTCAACGCTGCCACCTAAACACATGTGGCAAAGGTCAGTTCAAAATGAAATACACTGACTTCGTCTCAAACGAGGCAGTTGGCGCTCGTTGCAAAAACCTCGCGAGGATGTCTCAGGACATCCAAGAAAGACAATTAAAATGGTTCAGACACGTTCTTCGCCGTCTGCCTCATGATCTCGGTGTTGCTGTGCTCGATCCGCCGTTAGTGCCAGACGTCGAAAATGTGGTCGAATCAGAACCTAGTTCAACACAGTTTGTCGAAACATAGACGTGGTTCAACATCGACCTTCGGTAATCGGTCTCATTTGCTGGATGAAAGAATTGGTCGAGTTCGCCCGACCCACTGCTGCTGATCGTAACGCGTGCAGATGTACATCCGCGACATTATCGAGGTGGAATACATCAAGCGTGGTCAAAGCTGTAAAAGGTACAGGTATCCAGGTCCACTCACTTGGAACACGAGAGGTAGGAAAATGGTGAGGTCCATACTACACAGCTCTCTCACCAAAACCCAATTCAGGTGTGAGCCCCCCCCCCCCCCGTTTTCCGAAGTCACGGTGGTCGGCACGGTTTGCAAGAACAGCTACCAATCAGAGCGGGCAAAGTGGACACTACCAGCGATACGGTTATTAAATTAGAGACGTAACTGAACAGAGCATAGAGAAACTTCGGTGAAAGATGACTACGGGGAAGGCTAAAGAAAAAAATCAGCACCAGGACAAACGGAAGTTTCACTTACAACAATTTGGTTGGGGGCCAGGAAAAAGCGGTCAGGCTTGACGCTGAGACGAGACGCCGGCAATTCAGGTGTAACGCCTGTCGCGGCAGGGTCGGCGGTAGCTGTGGCTGCCTCCTCCCACGGGGAGTAGCGTACCATAACCCAGGCGGTACGCTGGCCCCAGTTACTCACAACGATTCGCGTGACCCAGGCTGGCTCCGTTGTGATGACTGCATTGGGCGATCTGCGGTCTCCCTGGGAGGGGAGATCCATTCGCGGTGGATGGCAGGGAAAGGCCACTGACCAGAAGGTGCTTTCGTCTACCCGCTTGCAGCAGTATATATCGATTTTACTGGACTCCGCATAGCCAATGAGACGCACCTTGGGGACGAATAAACGTGCACATAAGAACACTAAGCCTTTCCATTCAACCAAATAAAAGTTATCAGGACAGGGAAGAGGGTTACCTGTGTGTTTCTGGGGTCGAATCTGGGCTATTTTTCTGCACATGATGAAAAAAAACTGGGAGAAACATTTGGCGGACCCCCCCCCTTGGTTCACAAGACACAATTAAGGTAGTGCCACCAAAATACCGACGATGAGGAATCGCAACGAGGCAAAAATCATCAAATCTAATAGACAAGTTCATCAGGTAGAAAACTTCTAAAAGTGCCGACCGTATAATTGCGCCAGATTCTGAATTCCGCCTAACCTAATCCAGCAAGGATTACAGTTTGGTAGACTTCCTTCGTTGTCAGCGCAATGGGCTTTCCTTTAAGCGAAATACCGGATAATGTCTCGTGAGTGTCCGGGAATAGGAGGCAGTGCGATAGACTATAATGTAAGGCACCGACCGGTACTTCCTGAGGCGGAATTAGCTATTTATCAACTAAGCCTATTGGTGGGGTCGGATTGGCAAAGACAGCTGTTCCCAGTCTATTCTGTCCTGCCCTCCCAGGCAGTTTCCGAAGGTGGATCAGAGCACATCAATCCTCTGATGGTAGGAGTTATGGACAAGAAACCACATGCCAGTTGACAGTACAATCAGAGATACATTATCAGAAATAGACTTGCTAAGACAAGAAGACAGGACCAATTTTATCTAAGAAATGAACCAGATTGGCGTGTCTCTTTTTCAAAGTTACGGTAAAATCAGAATTCTCCGAAACCACTTGTTTCCACAAGTGGCAGTAGATGAAAGTGGGTACGAAGTGTTAAACAAGAGGTGTCGCTCACTTTTGAGTGGACCCGGCTTGGAGTGTCGACACGCAGTTGCAGTTCACCAAAGTGCCATTGTTGACCGGGCAGGGGAGAGTAGACCACCCCGATGGTACACTGTAGTTCCGCTGGAAGTTCTATTATGCGTCCGCCCTTCGACGGGAGACCTCGGTCGTTTAGGAGCTGTGGAAGGAACAAGCATTGAAGGCTGCAAGCAGTGAGGAATTGTTCAAATGCCCATTAACATCAACAAGGAAATTTTCAAAACCTCGTAATGCAAAATGCGTAATGTAGACCGAGGTATGAATCCAACAACGGAGATAGAGGTAGTTAGCGAAGGGTAATTAGTGACAGTTCGACCATCGGAAACGACGAAATTCATCGCGTGCCCACGGAATGGGCGCAACACCGTTGATTTGCTGGAGAATTATTTTGTGGTGAAGAGGACTTGCGCGACATCTACCGCACTCTATCATCTCTCTTGCTTCGATGCCAAGACAGTGTAACGACGACCGAACGTGGGCACGGGTGCAGTGGCTGACAAATCCAAACGGCCCGTCTACGCGGACCACACACATGATTGCCAGGAAATGTACCAGACGGCTGGTACAACCAGATGAGCAGTCCTCGAAAAAAGAACAAGACTTTCACTAACTATTCACGTCATCATCTAATCAGTGGGCTACTGAATTCATTCTAGGTCAAGATAACTACAAGGAGCCTTCGCCCTCCATTCAGCGTTTGGAAGGCTGTGTGGAAACCCTGTGATAGACCCGGCCCTGTTCACAGCACCATGGTCCTATTTGAGGCTTCGTCTAGTAACTTGCCTGGGCCGGCATTGTCCTGCTTGAGAATTCCACCGCGAAAACGCAACCTCCTTTGACCGCAAAGGCGTCAGTTTCAGAAAATTTGGCCTGTGACTGATGTCCGTGAAAAATAAAATTACTGATCGATGACGCACAGCAAGAACTGTCATGCATCCATCTAGACGATGAGGTGATCGGCTGTTTTACCAACAGGCTGATATTTGGGAGGTGTAAACCTACGAATACAATTTTCGCGATGCATGTTTTATCAGCCCCGCAAGCAGCTGGATTTCACCTGAGGTCTGACGGAATACAAACACTGTATAGATACGGAGGCTACGATCAATGCCATTCTGGTTGGGGAACGTGGCCTGTGCACACTGAGAACTTTAGGGAGATCAAGGTATTATGTAACGAGCGTCTTCAGCGAATACTGTGGCTTCGGTTCACAAACAATCGCCGATCGGGGAGACCAGCTGATTACGTAGTAAAATATCATTGTCTCAGATGCCCTGGTTAAGGACTCGTCTAGTAAGGCTCTTTTCCGTATCTCTGTCCGGGTTCACACTGGTTTTCCAGATTGGTGCAAAACATGTGATGTGGAGTGTGACTGCTTGCCAGGCTGACCTGGGAGGCCACCAGACTTGTCGCAGTCATTCACTAAAGACCGTTCTACTAGACACCAACTGTGGACGCGCAGAGTGCCTGGGCTAACACATAGACCTTGTCCTCTCTCCTATGAGCATCCTTAGCTCCAAAGACGTGGGCTGCCGAGTAAAAGACAGTGTGATTCCGCAAGAGGCGTTCGAAGGCCTGTCTTCGTGTCGGGACAGAGAGGAAGGGGGGGATTGGCACGGACTATGTAATCACGTCTTACTTAGTCCGCTACTTAATCAGTCGCTGAGGATTCAGTGTCTTGGGTGACAGATTTCAGCTATCTTCGCAAACGTTCTACATGTCAGTCCAATGCATGCAGTCGATCTTCCCCAACTCCGTACTACCAGATCGCCCATAGATGGAAAGAAGCACGGACCATGGGCGCTTGTGCACATTTGTGATAATCGACCTTATAATAACAGTTCGTCCATCGCGAACGACTAAGACCACCACTGTTGCGGAGAGGGAACAGTGTTGGTTTAAATGACTTAGTCCACAGTAAGAGACACCTATGTAGCACCCATGTTACCCTCTACTGCCCACACCCGCCATCCTCTCTAACGGCCAGATAAGGTCAAGATGGGCGGATAGGAATGCGAACATTGTAAATGAGAAAAAGCATATCACCTATCTAGGCATGCCAGACGCGACCGGATTCCTAAATTCTGCATGAACTAGGCTTACAAGTTAAGGTTTCCGGTTTCACCTAAGCAAGGACGCCATAAAAACCACATGGAGAAGAAGCCATGGCAGTCTTCTATTTAATCTAGAGGGACTCAGTCATCCCATCGGTTGGCAGCTTTCCAGGCATCATGATAGTTGACAAATGTGTTCGACTTTCTACGGTGGGGAAAATAAGAGCCGGATCCCAGCTGGATCGACTTTACCCCCTTTTTTCTCTCCCATAGTCTCCGAGTTGCAACCTTTCAAGTCGCAATTTACAGCATGGCCTAGAAGTTTCAATTGCTTAACGTGTAGTATAGTGAGGGGTGCGCCGAATTACCACAAGGACCACAAGATTGGCTTTGCCCCCTCTCTCTCTCTCCCCCTTTCTGCCCTCCCACTGCGCAATGGTTATCATCCTGAAACTGCATCATATGCTGCAAGCCACAGATCATATGGTCATTTCCCATGTGGATGAATGTGCAGAGATAAACGACGACGACGACAGGAGTTAAGAAGTAAGCAGACAAACAGGCAAGGTAGGTTAGTTAACTTGACTGGACTTTTGTGTGGGTTAGTTTGTGGTGAAGTGGACTTGCACAGCACCTAACACACTCTATCTCCCCTCGTGTACCTTGCCTCGAATGCATGACAATGTCATGACGACCGGAGGCGGGCGCGGACAAAGTCAAATAGACCGTCTGCGCGTGCCACACACACGACATTACTGTTCATACGTGTGTACCAGATGGCTGGTACGCCGCGCAAGAGCGAGACGATGGACGTCCACCCCCCCCCCCACCCACTGAATGGGCTGTCAAGTGTCTTAGTGTTGGGAAAGCCTACACTCCCAAAAAACAAGAGCCAACCAATCACTGCAGATCACGTGCGTTTGCTCTCTCTACAGCGCTGTCATCTCAATCAGGCGCCTTCCCATTGGCTACTCCCCTCTTCCCGAAGGTCATTGGACCGAATGCCGGCGAACTACAATAGCGTGTTATAAATATGCATAAACTTTAGCTAGTCGTGACTTGCAGTGTTTTCCTAATACACTTTCCGTGGCCAGCCGTGCGGTCTTTGTCTGCTGCCTTGGTATTAGGGAACAGGGTCGAGTGTGTATACGCTCCACGGGATTTCACGAACCAGGCGGGTCATAACACTTAGAGCCAATGTGGAAAATATCCTGGCTAGACTTACAATCGATGTAAACGAATGAATTTGAAGGTTAACATGCAAACGTTGATACAACTGGTTTTATGCATGCAGCTCTGCTTTTTATCTGGTTGGTAACAAAGGAGACACATCCAAACGACTTGGGGCACGCGAAAACGAAGACGCCGAAGAAGTGGAGGGAGGGCATCACGAAAAGACAGCCGAACCTTTACGCATTAAAAAAGGGGCATTACCACGGTGGGCCGGGACGTACCGTGAAGACTTCGGATCCTGAGGTGATCTCCAGTCGAATTCTAACGACATCAGGAAATTTGTGTTTAAGAATTAAAAATTGACTCCTGAAAATGAAACATAGACGGTAAAGGAATGTGAGGAGACAAGTAGGAGAGTCGTGCATGGGAGGAATAGCGTCATCACGAAATGGACTATACAATAACTGCAGTCTACTCTTTTGCTTACTGTGTGAGAAAGGGGAAAAACACTTGGGTTAAGGCAGAAGAGAAGTCTAGTAGTAGCACAGTCTGGTTAGAAGGGTAATACCCAGACGCCTCTAATCAGGCTTTGGCTAAGCGCACAATGAGGATTTGAATTTATAAAGAAGGCAAACGACATCGATGAGTCTGGCCCACCGAGGAGGCGGGTTCTTAAATTCCTTCGCCACTCGGATTCCCTTTGCTACAGGGCTTGTTGCAGCAGATACATGCATGCAGCCTATGACTAAGCAATGGAAAAAACGGCCATGTCACTGAGTAATCTTTAACTAGTGGACGGCAGTCAGGTAGACTTAGGTGGCCGTGTATGCAATCGTCGAATGGGTTCCTAACAAGCCAGCTAGCTGTGTACAGGACACTCCCTTATCTCAATATTGGTAGTCGAACTCACCACCTGAAACGCCAAACGACACGCACGTCCGTTTAAGTCTCTCACTTTCGCTATTATGCAAGCATTTTTTTCTATAAAACTCATTTAATTTCTGATGGGTGTTGTGGAAGAAGTAACGGACAACTAGTAACGGTTCTTTGCGACAATGTAACGACTCCAGATTAGATTTGAATTATTCGACATGCTACATTTCAGGATAAAGACCCGGGACCGTTACAAGAGGGTATAGGATTAATTGTTCGAGAGAAAAAATGTGACAGGGTTGAGGACGATTCCTTCGGCCCAGATGGCAATCATACTGATCTAATAAGATAAACCGTCCCGAGTGTTTATCAATTTCTGATGACTTTCCACCAGTTCACGTTTGTCCTTTTCTATGGAGACCTCTTAGATATAACTGGTTTTCAACGCGCACAAGATCAGCACTGTAGCTGGCTCAGGTTTCAGATGCCGTCCCATTTACATCTAGACGTTTCGCAGAATGGCAGAAGGGAAAATTCATTGTACGGGGGGAAGGGGGTAGATAAGGGTGCTAAGGGCGCCGCAAATGTGAGAGCGTTGGTGTAAAAGTGTTCTGAGCCGAAGTATTGGACAAAGGACTTTGACATGATCTAGGCGGCAGCAGGGTCGAGTAATGCATCCGAGATACCTAACAGTGTGATCACCTAGTCTCCCCTTACAGACAAAACCAGGACGATCAAAAGAGTATCTTCAAAAAGAAATTAAAAGGGGCAGGTGCGAAACGGCATATACCACGGCACCAACAGGACGCAATCATTATAAATGGTTAAAAAGGTAATGGAAGACATTTGAATGGTGCGAAGTGGAATGTAACCGAGGAAAATGTCTTACCTGCTAGAGTCGTATGATGCAGCAGGCCAAAATAGGCATTTCGTAGTGGCAAAAAGCGATGCAGAAGTATCCGACTGCCCTTCCAGTGGTGGCGGCGGTTGTGGTGAGGCCAAGAGCTTTTTGCTCTTATCGTCTGCCTTTGCCGCTGCTTCTTCAGTTGGCGGCTCTTCTATCCGCGCTGCCGAAGAGCCATCAGCTTCAATCTCAGTGTCAGGTACGGGTGAAGCAGAAGGCACGTCTGGTGGAGACAGATCTGAGTGATGTGGCGTCCCACTGTCTGCGGTTGAGTCGTCTCCCGGAGTCGCCGTCGGTACCTCGTTTTCTGTAGAAACCGGAGACGCAGTGGGGACTGCCACCGCGTCTTCAGTTTTCCCCTCACCATCCAGTTTTGGAGTCCCTTCACAGCGCAGCTGAACGCGCTTTGAAGTGAAGGAGACAGAGCGTTCTGGTTCGGAAGTGGGATAAACAGACGCTGTGACAAGCAGGTCACAGACAAAGCCCTCCTTCGATACAGTCGATGCATCCTCTGACTCCACGGCAATCTGCGCGGTGAAAGTGAGCGGGGTAGAGAGACGGCTGGGCAGGAGATACAGCGAGTCCGGTTGCAGGACAGAAGGCAGTCGGATGGGCAGGTCGGACTGCGATTCTGCAGGTTTCAAATTCACCCGCACGGACAGTCCATCCAGGGTGATTTCGCCGAGTGGTCTCCGACAGAAGACGGTGACTTGGATGGTTAAAGGCACAGCCACAGATGAAGAAACGGCCAGTACGTCGGGTGCGGACAGGTTGACCTGCAGATCCTCGGTGGACGGCGTAGACACGAGTCTGTAGGCTAAGCGTGCTAAAAAAAGAGCAAAAACGCTTCTAAAATTCTCTTTTCGACTGCTGCCTAGGCAAGTGACCCATGAAAAGGCTAAAAACGTCAGTGGTGTCGACTGAACCCCACGTTATACTTAAGTGTATCATGTGGAAAATTAAGAGTCAGCATTTTGGGTTGGCAAGCTATCAAACGGTGATGACGCGCCGTACAGAGCGTCTTTGATGTGGAACTGGGGCAAAAGTGGCGTGTGGAGGCAGGGAGGGACCAAAACAGAAAGCCGGCGAGAGAAAACAAGCAAGTGGCAGTGTTGGTTACAAATAGACAGAGTCCACACCTCTGACAGAGTTTGAGTCCGTAAACGGCTTATCGTGAAAAGCCCGACGCATGTTTGGATGAAGCTAAGCGGACGGGATAAGGGCATAATAAGTTGACAGGCAACAAAGAGGCGGGTAGTGAAACGTGCCTGATGAAATGACGCCTCTCGGAAGGCGCGGCGTCCGAGGGAGAGACCGGAAGGGTTGGTCGGGTGGTGCCGAGGCCTCGGAGGGAAGACTAGAGGATGTCGCACTGACGTCCGGGATGTCCGTGTTGAATACCGCAGACCGTTGGACACTTTCAGAGGCATCGGGAGGATTGCTCGCAGAGCTTTTGACGGCCAGCTGTGTAGAACACAAGGGGGAATAGATATATAACCGCAAACCAAGAGTGGCAATATCAGTGCTCTGAACGATCAGTATATATATGAGCATAGACTGCGCGACAGATTGGCTCTTCTTACGCCAAAATAAAAAGGGGGATGATGTGACCAGCCTATCTTACTGTAGTAGGAAGTAGAGGGGTTCTCACAAATAATGATCGTAGGAAGAGGCTGCAAGTCTGTGTAGATGGTGAACGTTTGAACTACCCCAGCAAAGGCACTGTGCACATTGAAAAATTCCCCTGTCAAAGTGAACAAAGGCCGCAACCACAACACCACCACCACAACCACCACCACCGCCGCCGCCGCCGCCACCACCACCACCACACTGACGGACCCGCATACCACCTCCAACCCACCTACACCACGCTCTACAGTCTTCTAGCATAGGCAGCGTTTCCTCGCAACCACGCGAACAAAGCACTTCAAACACAGCTGCGCCGGACAATTCCGACATTCACAGGCCCACTCACAGGTCTCACTCTGCTCCAAAGACAAAAAGGGATCAAAATGACAGGAAATGCGCTTTTGTGCAATCACTGATTAACTATTTGATTCCATCTTTTCCATTCAAAACAAATGCGAATTCCTCAAACGGCATGAACGAGACTCCCTTCCCCACTGTAGCTGTCCGGTAGCGACGGACGATGATTAGGTGCAGAAGGCTGAAAGACACCATAGACACCAGAAGCGCACTTAAGAGTGTCTGAGAACAGCATATCTCCATCAATTTCGAGGGGAAAACGATATTGACGGTCCCAAGACACTGGCAAAATACCGCATAAAAGAACTGAAAAAATGGGGTTGAAAGCTGAGTTCCCCATCGAGTTGCGCTGGTGACGGGGAACGCTGTCTGATAGTTCTGCCGTCATGCCCGAAGATGTCCACCGTGTGCTCAACAGCAAGCTGAAGCAGGGATGGGGACTTGAGTGTGAATTTGTTTGTAGTGAGAGTAGACTTGCGCAGCATCTACCACACTCTCCTCCACCCCACCTCGACCCGGTGTCAAGACAGGGTCAAGAAGACCGGGAGGCGGGGGAGGGAGCAGTTGGATGGCGCGGCCAGACCCGCATCTGGGCGCTCCACTCCGCACCCCCTGCTCCATAGCAGACACTACCAGGATTCTGACCAACAACAACAAAATAAAGGATGAGGACGACTGGGAAGCCATGGAAGGATGTTTATAAACGGCAACCTCCACAGGGTCGTTCTATACTCGGTCTTCAAGCAGCAAAGTTGTCAAGAAAACTTAATAACAAATATTTGGACTCGAGGCGCCGAAGGATTGAAAAATTCAGCTAAGAGTGAATTGTCATAGAGTTTTGTGCAAGAAGCACAGTCACTCCTTTTCAACAATAGGATTAGAGGGTGGCTGAAGTCGTTCCTGACCAAGTTTTATCTCTCTTCACCATCCGTCACTCCAGCAAATTTATACTGCTGACTATGAGTCACCTAGGCGTTAAGTGGGGCTTGCGAGTGTAAGGCTGTGTGATACACGGCCAACGTGGGCTGCAGTTAACCGCCCACAGTCGACTAACGCAAGTTAACTTAGGACCAAGGAGTATGAGGCGGTAGCCTAACACCCAGGGCAATCATTAGGGAGATGTAAGGATCCAAGTCCGACTGTCCTCCTAGACAGGACGTGGGAGTACGCAGGCCCCGCCCACGTAATAAAAGTGGGCCTGGACATGATTCCGAAAAGGACAAAATATTCTCGTGTCCTAATCCCACTAATAACTCCGATGTCAAACAAAATCGTTGCCTTAATCTCGACCCTAACCCTACCCTAAACCTTAGCTCTGCAGTTAACACTAGACCCCCACCTTAAACCTAAACTTGATCCTAACTTTCTTTACAGTTGACTTTAAATCTAACCTCGGACCTAGTCCTTAAGCTAACTCTAACCGTAACCTTTAGCCTGACCCTAATTTCGCAGGAAGTTAGCTCAAAGCCACCCGTATTGCAGGGGGTCTCTGTTCTCATGTCCTGTTTAGGGGGCCATATATGTCAGTCCTAACGTTCTGGCCAGGCATTTACTTAGCAAGTTTGTACTGACCGATGCTAAAGCAGGACAAACTCGTAATGGACAGGCGATCAGCGGACCAGAACGCAGATGCATTTACCATCTTTTCGCCCTATTTCAGGGCATAGGCGCTCTCATCCTTAGAATCTACTGACTGTTTTGGTTCCCTTACACATAAACGGCTCTTAGGTGAGAGATCGATCACCGTGGGCGACGACGTCCACCGTGTGCCTCATGGAGTAGGCGCAGCACCGGTAGCTCGCACATGAATTAGTTTATAGGGAGGCGGACTTTATCAGCATCTACCGCACTCTCTCCTCCCTGAGCAATCTGGTTCCTGTGAAAAAGCAATGTCAAGACGACCGGAAGTGGGCTCCGAAGCAGTGACTGACAAAGAAAATTAATTCCGACTTTCATAAAAAAGGCAGCGGTTTGGATTTCCGTTCGAGAGTCCTACTGAGGTTACAGTAGGTGGGCTAACTCATGAAATGTCAACCGAAATGCGTCTCGAAAGGATTAATTTAGTAGGGTTGTAAAACTAGTCAGCCCGCAGCATAATTCTATAATATTTCAGTTACCCCAGCATTCCGGCTTTCGAATAAACTTCCTTCCGGCTGCATGCAAAAACTACACTCTGTGAAAAATGACTTCTTAAGTAGCATGCATTTTTCTCAGTTATTTTCGATGCCCTAAAATTCCAGTTATATTTCATGGAAAAAAGTGTATAAACATATTCGTTCGTTTGCCCATTCAGTAGCAAATTGTGTCTTTTTCTAACTTCATACTCGAAGGGGGGACATGATTCGGTTTAGAAGGAGTTCCTTATTGCGGGACTTTTCAATACCGTGAAACGGCCGTTCATAAATCGTCATGTCTCTGCATTTACCAATGTGGCTTGTTAAGTTAACAATATGGATCAAATCCACTGCTACATTTTATGAACCCTACATGGTCCTCCTTTAGTACCGTAGAGAAATGTGTGGTTTTCCGTACGTGGAAAATATACGGCTTGTAGTTTGGAAACCTTGGATGCAAGTGCAACGGTAGAGCGGGTTCGAAATTATTCGGAAGTTGGAAAAGTTTTTGAAAACCGAATTCTACCCTTCCTTCGAGTATAAAATTAGAAGATGTAATTATCTATCGAATGAGTGAAAGGAATATTTTTATGCGTGTTTTCCGTGAAATATAACTGGAATTTTAGGGGCATCGAAAATAACTGAGAAAAATGCATGCTGCTTAGGAAGTCACTTTTACAGAGTGTTTTTTCAATGCTGCCAGAAAGAATTTCATTCAAAGGCCGGCATCCTAAGGTAAGTGATTTATTATAGAATTACGCTGCACGATGATTGGTTTTACAAGCCTACTTAATTAATCTTTTCGAAACGAAAACGTATTTCGGAATTTCGGTTGACATCTCATGAATTAGCCCACCTACTGTATGTCAAAAAGGAGCCACTGAGCTTCACTCCTAGTCGTCGAGTCAGTCAACCCACATACACAGTACTCACCGGGAAGACCGGGTTAACTGGTCGGCTGGCAGCCTTCTACGCTACGACTTTTGACGCATCAGGATTGCATAGAAGCACATCGTAGCTATTACTGGTGAGGAATGCACACTCAGGTGCTGACCACTGTCTCTCATCCCTCTTCCATGCGACAGCTCACCGTCTGAGCCGGCCAGTCATCTGGCGTCTGCCCGTGCCACATAGCCTGACCCCGCTGCACAAACTCAGCACAGAAAAGGGGGGAGCGGATCTTCGCGAAAGTTCCATAGCATAGGACAAATTAAGGAGCCACTGAATTTGACTCCCAGTCCTAGAGTCAGTCACCCAACATACGCACAGCACTGACCACGAGGGCCGAGTTATCCAATCAGCTGGTAGCCCTCCAAGCCACGGCTTTTAGCCCATCGTGATAGTTTTAAAGCGCGTTAGATTTGTTGTAGTGAGGAATGCTCTGATGAGCACCTTCACCCCCCTAGACCGTTGCGATTTTTCTACACGCAAAACGGTTTTGGGTACGAAGTAGTGTAGTGTCAGCTTCCGAGCGACCATCTAATCGGTCGCTTAGAGCCTGGCTAAGGATGCGACAGTAGTGAAAAACTGCTAAGCCCTCAACATGTGCTTCCGATATTGCGACAAAAGTTTGATGATTTGGTGCTTCAATGACCTTGCAAGCAGCCTGACTGACTACAATCCAGACAGTTCAAGGTTTCGTGGCTCGCGCATGATGTCAGATAAATGTGCAGTCATATGGCGGTTCGGCCGTCGCGAGCGACGATGTCCACCGAGTGTAAGGCAGCATGGCGGACGCAGGTACGGCGACTTGCTCTGCATCTATCCCACTCTCTCCCTCCTGGACCCAGTGTCAAGACGACCGGAGGAGGGATCTGGTGCAGTGACTGAAAAAGTCAAACAGCCCGTCTGCGCGTGCCACACACGTCTGGTCCGAGCACGGTGGACCGGGTCCCAAATAACTGGCAGTCCCCCGAAAGTCCACATTAGGAGAGAGTCATTGGAGCCTTACTTTTCGTCTCGAAAGGAGGACCGAGTTGTGCCACCAGCTGGTAGCCTTCGAAGTCACTGTATTTAGCTCCCCATGATAGTTTAAAAGCGCGTCGAATTGTTTATAGTAAGGAATGTATGCTGGATGTCGTGGAGACAGAGTCCCCGGAGTCGACCTCATCCTCTCTTATCTCTTGCCCACAGCAGGTCCACTGTTGGATCCGGTCGAACATCAAATGTGAGGATTGGGTGCAGCGGTTAGCAAGTCTAAACGGCTCGTTTACGCGTGCCACACACGACCTGGCTCCCCACACAGTACACTAGGTCTGCACACAGAGAGGAATGATGTGCGGTACTGAAACTGGCAACCACTACGCATCAGAGCATTTTAGCGTCAGCACACGTCGGAGGGGTTGCCCCCCGTTCTCCCCCCGAATACTTCGTGTCGGAAGTTCTGGTGTAAGAATGCGGAAATCCAGTACGTTTGAGGTCCTGAATACAGACATCCGAACAATCTCTGTGGGCTAGATCGATGGAGGCAGCAGTCAATGGTCTTTATTGAAGTTCTCCGTCCGAGGCACAGTTAAACTAGGTCGTGGATTCACTTAGCGGGATCTCAGTTTCTGGATTGGTCCAGGAACCCTACAACTGTTTACCCAAACCACAACGCACCTTAGCATCACTGTAACGTGGCTACCATCAATCGCCATTAAACAGGTTTGCATGGCACCGCTGCTTTGCGGTTTTAGGCTCTCGAGCCAAAAGCGTTAGAGACAACCTCGAACAAACAATCTGAGCGGCTGCTGGACACCCGCCTGCACCGAAAATTCCAAAGAAACCTCGCAGAAAATGTCCATTAGTCCAGTTGAGGGCTACTTCGCCCGTAAACAGAAGGCAGGCATAAGTGAGGGTCAGATTCAAAATAGGCAGGCTCTAGAGTCTGATAAATAGTCAGTCGCGGACAGTGCAACGGTATTACCTTCGGCTATGACTGAACACTAATCCACGCAAATGGGACGCTGGATCGGTTTGCTGCAGGGCAAATGAGGACGTACATCAACACATTTAGGACTCACACGAAGTCCATACGACGAGCTGCGGTTTAGGTCTTAGAAAACCTATTGGGTAGGATCCGCCCATTTCATCGGAACTTGAAAAAATCAGCGGTATTGAGAGGACCAAGCTTCTATTGGTCGACGACAACTGTAGCACACTACTAATTTGGTACTATAACTATCCTACTTTTGCCCACATATACCACAGGCCAACATCATAAACGGGTTGGATTTAAATTGTAGGGAAACGCGATACAACAAGCGAACGTTGTTTGCCAAAAACGGAGGAAACAGAATTGTGTCTTAGACGTAGCTCACCGTGATAGTTTAAAAGTGCGTCAGATGTGTTGTAGTGGGGAATGCTCTGATGAGCACTTTCGCCCCCTAGACCGTTGCGATTGTCCTACACGCAAAACGGTTTTGGATACGAAGTAGTGTAGTGTCAGCTTCTCGCAGACCTGTGTCTGGATAGCCTGAAGTCTGCCGTAGAAATGGTTCCTGCATCAATTACGGTAAACAGTGTTCGTCTCTTACAATGTTATCCTAAGTGTACGCAGACAGTGGGCTGAAGTCATCGAGAGATAAGTTGACTGCTGCGCAATGTACCGATGGCGGCGCTCAAGTAAGCAACATTGTTGATCGTCCATTTAGAGGCCCGTTGATTGGACTTTAAGCCACAAAAATTCCATATATCGAAGGCTCCAGTAAAGCAGCCGCTTGGCACTCAATCAGGGACTGTGGATATAACGTAATTCGCACGAGCAAGAGTTCTGCTCACGGCAGGGTTCGGGTTCACTGGTAAACCGGTAAGTACTACGGCCTAAACTGAATTTACCACTAAAAACAACCCAGGCATCGACGGAGAAAAGCTGGTTTTATGGTAGCCTGCTACACTTTTAGTCGAAAAAACATGCTACAGACATTGAGTGCCTACCAAGGACTCCTTGCTTTGACACTCGAGGATGGTAGATAGTCGCCTCCTGTAAATGGGATCCGATAAAGAGGGTGAAAAGGAATCTTCCTGAGCGTCAGATAGCAAAACAGGCTCGGAACCGGTGGTGTTTGGCGGTTGGTTCTCCCTGTCCTCCGTCTCCTCCTCCTCTTCAGACAAGGATTTCTTTGCCGCTGGAAAACCTGGCTGGGAAGAGACAAGACACGCGTCGATAGTGTGGGCAAACGAACAGGAGAGACGCTAAGCATTCGCACGAGCGACGATCAGTTAGCGAGAACAGCAAAGCCAAGTACTAAAATGGGCCTCAAAAAGCTTCCATGCAGACAAGTAGTAAATAATCAATGCTTTACCTTGTAACCTTGAAGACAAGAGGGGGAGTTGGACACGTTGAAATCTCTCTCTGAGAGGACGCCGCAGTGTGGCTCCGCGTCTACGGTGCTATGCTTACTGCTAGGTGACTCGTTCAGGGAGGGGATAGAAGAGGCCATCGTCGCATCGGGGCTCTCAAATACCGATGCTTCCACTGAAGGAGGTGAACGCAAGAGACCACATGTGTCCGCACTCTGCACATTTTTAGAGGTCGGTGGTCGACAAGCAGCAGCAGTAGTGTCCTGTGAAAAGTCGTCAAAGGCTTCTTCTAGATGACGGAGTTCCTCAGCGTTTAAGCGCACCGCGTGTTCCACCGCCTCCTGCTCCTCCACAGATATCCCTTTTCCGACGCCGCCACGGTGTGCAGAAGTGTCCGGTTGGATAGAGGTTGACTTCTGTTGGGGCTGCTGACCTTCCATTGCCCCGCTTGAGGTGCTGTACTCAAGCAGACAAGCGGAGAGGTCTAAAATAACAGATTAAGAGAATCCGCGGTAACCTACTCTCTAAATTAAGTAGCTGCATTGACTCATCACCACCACTGGCAGCCGGGGAATTTATGCGCTGCACCAGATCGTTATCATAGGCCGACGAAGACCGATTCGTAACGACCGTATAGGTTGCGGCCTCACGCAAGGGGCTGGGGGAGGATTTCCGGTCGACTGATTTGATAGCTGTGGATTGAGCCTTGGGCAACATGAAGTCGAGGAAGTTTCCCACGACAGTCGGTGAAGAGAAACAACTCGAGGCCTGACGACTCGCCACAGGCGAGGGTTGTTTGTGGTCCATCCTAGAAAGCAGTACAAAAGTGAGCATGAGTGGAAATCCTAGGTGCCCAGGCGCTCAGACTGGAACTGGTCTACAGGAAAATCAACTGAATGGCAGACAAGTACATCATCTACTGCTAGATAAATGATGTCCCACGCTATATCTGAACCATAAAAAAGCCAGACACCCATCCCAGTTGGGTGTTAGGCTAGGCGGTCCTATGATGCCACCCACCGTCCCGGAGAAAGAGTCCTAGATGGGATCAGGAAATACCCGGGTCAGATTTTGCACCCCCACGTCATTCCCGGAGCCTGGCGAAATTTTCCGGATCTGTGGGAGGCTATCTTAACGCAGAATAGCGTCTCTGTCATACAGTAAAAAGTGCGCAAACTGTCAGGGAATCCACATTTCAGGCCAAAGAAAATGTTATCACGAATCTCTCCATACCTAAACACTCAGGACTGCTCACTTTGGACCTGTTTTAAGCCCAAATTCGCAAGTCACAGTACCCGAAACCACGAGGCTCTTCACGTTCAAGGCGTATTACATAATGCCGTTGGTCTACACCAGGATGAGGTACTCCGAGATTCGGCCAAGAATTGAGGTCATGATCGAGTCCGAGAGTGGATCTATCGATTAGTGAGCTCAAATACATCCATCTCTAGTGTTTACAAACATATTTTCATCCGAAGCATTATAACCTTTGTGCATTCATTTTAAAGATAACACACAACATAATGTTTAAGTTGGTGGGTCACATATGGTGCACTAGTGGAAGCGTGATATTTACAATGAATAATTGCAGTGCCTGTTTCCAACGGTTCGTGCAGATTTAAAACCTAAACGTAGACCTAAAACCAAGCGACCACTTCTGAGGTGGAGCAATGTCCAACACTACCGCCGGGCCCCCTAACTGCACCAAACAAAATAACAAAAACGCAGCCCAGATAAGAATAGCCGCATATGTCACCGATAGAAAGTAAAGAAAACCTAGGCATAAAAATGTCGAAGTTATCCCCAAGGGAATTTTTGGATGTAACTAAATGACAATTGCAAATACGCTGGAAATGTCCATCCCAGTCACTCTGGTTTTTGTTGGTATTTATTCTGCGTTTGCACGGTGTCATGCTAACATAAGCCCCAGGCTAAATTCCACCTTACCTACTACTTTTCTATTTCTCTTTTCAGTCCCAGTACGTCAATTGTAAGATGAATAAAGCCCTGTTATAGGGTATTCTCGTTCTGACTCTTACAGCCATATTCGTTCGTCCTCTCCATCTCGTGTGCTTGCTACGGTCCTAACTACTACAATTTATTCATCTTACAATTCCAAAATGGATCGATTCCTTAAGCCAGAACGATTCGATGCCGATCCAAATGCTCAAGACGCTTCTAAACAGTGGTCATTGGTTTCGCACTTTTGAAAACTTCTTGTCCACGATCGATAATCTGAAACCGGATAAATTAAACGTCCTGACTAATTACGTTTCTCCGACAATCTGGGAATACATTAGTGAATGCACCAGTTATAAAGAAGCTGTTAAATTGCTGCAAGGCCTCTACCTACGACCCAAAAACGAAAGTTTTGCCCGCCATCTTCTGGCAACCTACAGACAGGAAGGCGGACAAACCCTTGACCAGTTTGCTCAGAAGCTGAAATCCTTAGCTAAGGACTGTGATTTCAAAGCCGTTACGGCAGAACAAAATCGCGACGATGCCATTAGAGATGCTTTTATGAGTGGCCTTTCATCAAACCAGATTCGGCAGAGGTTATTGGAACAGAAGACTTTGAACTTCCAAACTGCCTTTGATCTGGCAAGGTCACTGGAATCGGCAGAAAGACGGTCTCTATCGTATCAGAACCCCCCGACGACCTCATTCTCTGCCGCTACCAAGCCACGTGAAGCTTCGTCGAGTCCCATTAAAGAGCCCGATCTAGTGGCTTCTACCTCATTCCATAGCAAATGTTTCTTTTATGGATACGACAAACACCGCCGTTCTATGTGTCCCGCACACGATGCGTTATGCAAAGGGTGCGGTAAGAAAGGGCACTTTCAAAAGGTGTGCCTAACATCACGAAACCGACAAGCCTCCTCTTTCGCTATGTATCCCACCATTTCCACCGTGGCATCAGCTGCTGTTCCCGAATGTCTTTCAAGAGCAGTGGTTGAATTACAAATAAATGGGACTACTTTTCAGGCCCTAATTGACACAGGCAGTTCTGAAAGTTACATTTCTTCCTCGGTGGTGCTCCGAAATAAGTGGAAGGTTCATAACTCTCACACAAAGATATCCATGGCTACCACAGCCTTAACCAGCGCCACACAAGGACACATTTTTGTCACTATTAGATATAATGATACAATATACGAGAAGGTCAAGCTATCCGTCTTGCCGAACTTGTGCGCCGTTGTTCTTCTTGGACATGACTTTCTCCGACTTCACAAAAGTGTTGAAATCCCTTTTGGTGGACCTAAATCTACGTTCTCGCCCTGTTCTGTGGCAGCCGCTTGCATCGAGCCTCCCCGTTTTTTTCCCAATCTGACACCAGACTGCAAACCTATCGCTACTAAATCGCGCAGACACACCAATATGGATGAGAAATTTATACGAGAAGAAATTCGTCGCCTTCTTTCTGAGGGTGTAATTGAGCATTCATTATCCCCTTGGCGAGCCCAAGTCTTGGTCGTAGCCAACGAAAACCACAAAAAGCGGATGGTTGTCGATTATAGTCAAACGATCAACAGATACACTCTTCTAGATGCCTATCCTTCCCCCAGAATAGACGAAATGGTTGAACGTATCGCAAACTACGACACGTATAGCACTCTCGATCTCAAGAGCGCCTATCACCAAATACCCATCCGAGTAAAGGAAAGACCGTACACTGCCTTTGAAGCTTGTGGACGTTTATACCATTTTTGTCGTATCCCGTTTGGTGTGACCAACGGAGTTGCGTGCTTCCAGCGGACCATCGACGACATAATTGCACGCGAACGTCTAAAGAATATTTTCGTCTACGTGGACAATATCACTATTTGTGGGAACGGCCTCGCGGAGCATGATTCAACCCTACAAAAATTCCTTAGCGTGGCTGAAAAGTACGGACTAACATTCAATGAAGCCAAAAGTGTTATCGCTTCTAAAGAAATTAAGATTCTTGGCTACGAGGTGTCCAAGGGCAACATTAGACCGGACCCAGATCGTCTAAGGCCTTTGCGTGAAATGGCTGCGCCGCAAGATCTTAAGTCTCAACAACGAGCTGTGGGACTGTTCGCATACTACTCGCAATGGATATCTCACTTTTCGGATAAAATTCATCTGCTCATCCATAACAGAACTTTCCCTTTACCATTGAAGGTAATAGAAGCGTTTGATGCTCTTAAGGAGGAACTTGCGAAAGCCACAGTGGCCACCGTTCGGTACGATACCCCATTAGTTGTCGAGACCGATGCTTCAGACGTCGCCATCGCTGCCACGCTGAATCAGAATGGCCGGCCAGTAGCGTTCTTTTCACGTAGCCTATCTCCAAATGAGCGACATCATTCAGCTATAGAGAAAGAAGCATATGCCGTAGTGGAATCCATACGCAAATGGAAGCACTTCCTCCTCTGTAATCATTTTAAACTCATCACGGATCAGCGTTCTGTTGCCTTCATCTTCGGCAATCAACAAAAAGGGAAGGTCAAGAATGATAAGATCGAACGCTGGAGATTGGAACTGTCACCATTCAAATTTGGCATTGTCTACCGACCTGGTAAAGAAAATCGAGCGGCGGACATGCTTTCCCGTAATTGCTGTGGCGCCCTATTAACCAGTGTGGATTTGAAAGAACTACACGAGTCACTTTGCCATCCCGGTGTCTCTCGACTTTCGAACTTTGTTCGAGCTCGGAATCTCCCCTTTTCGATGGAAGAGATTCGTAATGTCGTCACTAAATGTCAGGCCTGTTGTGAAGTCAAACCCCGTTTCTTTAAAACACAAGGCCAACTCATCAAAGCCACTCAGCCGTTCGAACGATTGTCACTCGACTTCAAAGGTCCTCTTCCGTCGGCTACTCACAAGCGCTATCTGCTGACGATTATTGATGAATATTCTCTTTTCCCGTTTGCGTTTGCCTGTCCTGATCAGACTGCCGGAACTGTCATTAAATGTTTGTGTCAGCTCTTCTTCATTTTCGGTACTCCTTCGTACATACACACCGACCGGGGATCGTCATTTATGTCGGATGATGTTCAGCAATTCCTTCACAGTAAGGGAGTGGCGACAAGTAGAACAACTCCATACAATCCCCAAGGAAATGGACAGGTTGAACGTCTGAACCAAACTCTATGGAGGACCATCTT